CCCGCCCAGCAACTTGCTTCATTCTTTAGGGAGAAATTATATATTAGATTTTTCTATTGCTGGCCAGCCCAATTCTCTACTCCAGTCAATCCATCAATTATCATTTTCCTCCCTTGTCCATTTCACTTCTCTCACCTACCAGGTTAGACAGTTGTGGTTTAAAGGTTTGAGCCTCTAGCGTCATTTTCAGAATCTGTGTGTAAAACCCACTGACATTCAAGTGATTCAATACCTAATTGCTTTTTGAATGATGAATTCTGACAAAGAAAATGATGAATACAGATGTCAGGGACATGGGAGACACAAACACAGAATACCTGACTACTGCCTCCTCCAAAGCTTGGCATGAGTGGATCCCCTGAAGCTATGATTTTTTTTTTTTTTAGTCTTTTTGAGACAGGGTCTCACTATGCAGTTCAGGCTGACCTTGAGCTCACTTTGTAGTCCAGGCTGGCCTGGAACTTGCAAAGATCCTCCTGCCTCAGCCTCCCGAGAGCTGGGATTACAGGCGTGCACCACCACACCCAGCTAAGCTATGATATTGAAATTCCATTACAGTGCTAGGGCTGGAAGGACTAGGTTATTAGCACTTGTGTGGTGAACCATCTGGTTTTAATGCTCAGTTGGGCTTCAGTATTTGTGGAATCAACCAGAATGTCAGGTAATGGCTGATTTGCACTGCTCTGATGTTGTTAGGCCTAAGATGGTGTTGTCTGTATTCAACATGACACTTTGTGCCTTGTCATTATTACCTAAACAGTTTAGTAGAACAACTGTTTACAAAGCATTTACAGTGCAGTAGCATAAGTAGTCTAGAAATTGTGCTTCCTGTGTAGGTTATCTGCAACACTGTACTGTTTATTAAAAGATTCAGGTGCTGGGGATATAGCTCAGTGGCATAAGTGCCTGCCTGGCAAGTGCAAGGTTATGAGTTCGATTCCCAGTACCAAAAAAAAATAAAGTTGGTTTAAAGGACTCGAGCATCTGCCCTTTGGTATGGGATGTGGTCCTGGAACCAGCCCCCTTTGGGAGCACCATAGACACCTGCATTTCACCACTTAGGATTGATTGGTCATTTCATGTTGAGCCTTGTTTGTGTGAGCTGCTGTAGTTGCAGATTTGGTGCACTTTTGTCTTTTGCCACTTTTAGAAAAAGTAGAGAGAAAAAGAGAAATAGAGCTCTTTCCCCTTGGAGACTTTATGAAAATTGAGAGTGGTCATAGAGCACAACATGTGATGAGCCCCTGAAGATGAGCAACAGAGCAGCATCCAGAGCAGCACCCTTAGCTTTGACACCTTGTTTGGGCCTTTCCCAGTGTCCTTAGTCGCTGTGTGAAAGTCACTTTCTGTGTCTGATCTCCAGCACCGCTAGGCTCTGAGCTCGGCCACCAGTGAGTCCTCAGTGGAATTAGTGCAGCCTGGAGCCATGGGTCTTCCTTCCCTACTTGAGCCTTGGTGACTCATGGCTTGTGGTGGCAGCATGGTGATTTTTCTTTTTCTTTCTTTTTTCAACTGCAGTACTGGAGGGGTCTTCACACTGAGTTAAATTCTCAGCCTCCTCCCCCCCCCCCTTTTTTTGGAGACAGGGTCCTGGTAAATCTCTTTAAATTGGCCAGGCAGGGCTTGAACTTGGGATCCTCCTGCCTCAGCCACCCAGGCTGCCAGGATTACAGGCCTGGGCCAACCATATACCTGGCTGGTAATTTTTTAACTGACACATACTAATTGTACATGCTTATTGGGTAGAATATGGTAATTCCATACATGTGTACCACATGTAATGATTAAATCCCACTCGTTAAACATTTGCCATTTCTTTTGAGTTTCCTTTTTCGGGGGAGTGGGGACCAGGAATCAAACTCAGGCAGGCAGGCACTTGTGCTGCTGAGCTATATCCCCAGCCCTAACATTTGCCATTTCTGTGATGGTGATGTTTATTTCCTGGAGTTTCTCCTCCCTTCCATCAGTCTCATGTCTTCTCCACTGTCTTGTGTGAAGTTGGATCTTTCCTGGTTCAAAATCAGGGGGTGGTACTTTTTTTTTTTTTTTTTTGTCTTTTTAAAAATTTAATTTAATTTAATTTAATTTTTTAAATTATTATTTTAAAGAGTAAAAGAGGGATAACACAGTAATAGGGGGGCTTACTGAATTACAGGCAAAGTGGTAGGAAATTATCAATGGTTGTTGTTTTACATATTGTTATCTACAAGGTAGTTTCTCCAGAAAACAAATAGACAAATAATAGTGAGTTACTGACAAAAGTGGTAGGTTATTATCAATGGTTGTTGTATTATACTTTGGTATCTTCAAAGTGATTTGTAAAGAAAATAAATAGAGCTATATATACATGAGTGACCAATTGAATATTCATTGACTGTTCTCAATGGTAGTTGTAGGAAACACATAATAATAAACATACATCCAGTTACGAAATAGCATAGGAACAATACAAACATTACAGAGTTATGGACAGATTAGTAGGAAAATATCAATGGCTGCTGTAATACATGGTGGTATCTTCAAAGTGGTTTCTCAGGAACACAGAGATACGCGAGAAAGATTGAACAAGTAGTTACAGCCTAAGAGTTGTGAAAAATAGCATATTGCCTCCTCACCAGTGACTGCTTTCACTGAGATGTGACATCTGGAAGGAAGGCCAGGGTTGAAAAGAAGGACCGAGAGACTTGCACCTGTGTCTAGCAACAGGCTCTTTTCTTGTTCCTCCATAGTCATGATTACCCGGGGCTCCTCCATGGAGATGACAGTCTGGCCAGAGGGAGAAGGCAGAGTATGCCCCGGGCCCCCTCATTCCTGTTGGACTAACTGGTAGGATGGGTCTGAGCTCTGGTGCCTCTGCTTCAGAGGGCAGACCGATCTCCAGTGGTCACCTTTGCATTCAGGGCATGGCCCAGGGGGCTTCTTAGGGCAGTTCCTCTTGGGGTGGCCTGGCTTTTAACAATGGCAGCAGATGAATGCAGTTGTCGAGTTCTTCTTGGGGCCCTGAGAATCAGATTTAGGGTCTGTTTCTCTTAGTGCTGCAGCAAAAGTAGCTGCTTTTTCTCGGACTCTTTGTTTTCTTTCCTTGGCCTCCTCCCCGTCACTGCTATAGAATACTGAGGAGGCAGTTCTTACTAACATTTCAAGTGAGCCATCTGGGGCGAAAGCCATTTTTTGTAGCTTTTTCTCTCCAGCTTCCCAGCGCATTGGGACCCCGCAACCATTTAGTGTCCTCTCCCCAACCGTCAGCACAGGCAGCAGGAATCTCGGTGCAGACCTCCCCGGAGCTCCATGTGCTCCTCCACTGCAGCCTGTACTGTCAGGGGAAGAATGGCTTCCTGGGGGTCTCCCCAGGTACTGCGCAAGGTCCTCCTGGTTTCCAGCTTCCGAACAGCTCTTGTGACCCCAGTCAACTAGACCTCTGAGTCTTCGGGTATAGTCTGTATTCTCGTGTTCTCCGAGTCCTTGTTCAGTAGTTGCTCCTCCGCTGACTCTGGACCTTTCTGGTTTTCAACAGCACGGGCAAGAGTGACCCATTGTGTGGCATGTATTCGCAGGGGTTTCTCCATGTTGGGATGATTCATGCACGTCCCTGGGCAGGCCTCCGCAGCCAGTGCGTGGTGGGCCAATTGTGTCATTGCTTCTCTGTGTCATGATAGTTCTTGAGTGCCAGCATGCGCAACTGTGCAGCTTCCTGGGCGCCTGCACGGCTAGGGGCCAGTGCTCCCTGCCACCCGGCTTCCCGGCACAGGCTTTTTGGTCTTTTTGAGACAGGGTCTCGGTATGCAGTTCAGGCTGGCCTCGAACTCACAACAATCCTCCTGCTTCAGCCTCCCAAGTGCCAGGATTAGAGGCGTGCGCCACCACGCCTGGCTCATGGAGAGGTACTCTTGACCAGCCTCCTGCCATTGTCTCGCATGAGAAGCAATCAGAGTGTGAAAAGGAGGGTAGAGTGCCTGGACTCTGTATGCTCTGTGACTTGCCTGTGTCATTCTGAGGGATTACTTCTCTTGTTCTTCCTCCTTACAAAATGTTTTAGAGACAAGGTTTTGCTATGTAACTCAAGCTGGCCTGGAACTCACTATGTAGCACAGGTGGCCTTAATTGCATGGCAGTTACCCTGTCTCAGCCTCCTGAGTGCTGGGATTACCATGCTTGGCTTCTTAGAAAATTTTAACTTTAATATCATCCATGTACAGAAAAAAACTTGAACTCTCAGAAGCAAAGGGAGAAATACAAAGGAAGAGTCTAGTACTGTTCTGAAACTCCTTATGTGTAAGTGTAGGACATTACTACTGGTGCTAAAACTGTTCTTTAAACTGGCAGTTCTTAGTTCCCACTGCTCACCCTGGCATGCCTCATATCCAGTGAAACACCTTGCATGTTCTTTGACCTACATAGGGTCAGTATGGTGATGTCCCCATATATTAGCCTGGTAGTCAAAAAATACCTTAGTTCTGGTTTCTGTCACTTTCATTCCTTGTTAACTTGAACATTTACTGTTTGGGCCTAAAACCATTTTAAGCTCCATAGAACTGTAAACATTTTGGTTGGAAATCTTGACATTTTGTATTTCAAGGAGGATAGATTTAAGAAGTATGGGAGAAGGGGAATAGTGATAAATACTCCAGCTATTTTCAGGCCAGTTGGTGACTTGTTTTTTGTGACCTTGGGCACATACCCTTCCTCTCATGACCTCATTTCTTGTCAGCACAGAAAAGCACTACCACTTGTTTCTTTGGGGCTTGTCACACCTGTGGCTCCATGAGACAAGTATAGTTCTGTCACAGGCATTCACTAAGGTAGCCTTTTTTGGGTAGAAAAGGAGTGCTGAGTAGCTCTGACCAAGGGCATTGGCATACTGGATGCTGTCTTGACTGTTGATTCCCAGGTGCATAGTCAGGTGCCAAGAAGAGATCAACAGCCTTTCAGCACCCTTCTCCATGGCCGAGTTTCTGCAGATCTCTTCCTTTGCGTGATGTGCTCTTCCTTTCTTTTTTCAGGTAGAATGGAAGAATCTCACTTCAATTCTAACCCGTACTTCTGGCCTTCTATCCCCACAGTCTCAGGACAGGTAGGTGGTGTTTGCTTCCTGAGTCCTTTACTTTTCAGCTCTGAGGAGTGAGTTTCTTTACTGACCAAGGCAGTCCTATGACTGGAGTCTGAAGTGACATAAACCATGAGCTAGTCCATCACCGAGGCCTGTCCCTGGGAGCTCGGTAGAGTTTCTGTCTTGGCATCTGTATGGAAGCCCAAAGATCTAGACTGTCATTGTTCCTTGATCTCCAAGGAGGAAAGACTGTAAAGTACTTAGGGAACAGGCAAAATCAGACTGTGGATCTGAAGAAGGACTTCTTTCCCTTTCCTCTCTTTTAGATTGAGAACACAATGTTCATCAACAAGATGAAGGATCAGCTGTTGCCAGAGAAGGGCTGTGGGCTGGCCCCACCTCACTATCCCACCTTGCTAACAGTGCCTGCCTCAGTGTCTCTGCCCTCAGGCATCAGCATGGACACGGAGTCCAAGTCAGAGCAGCTCACGCCACACAGTCAGGCGTCTGTCACCCAGAATATCACAGTGGTCCCGGTGCCGTCGACGGGACTGATGACTGCTGGTGAGCACCTCTGCTCTTCTCCAATCTGAGGTGTTGATCTTCCATGATCAGGACCCCAGGCTGGAGGGCTCTGAGGACACGGGTGTGGGGTGTGTGTGTGATTGCTCAATCAAATTTTTATTAAGTGCCTACTGTGTGCCTAGCAATGTGCTAGGCATTGTGGGGGATACAAAGAAGTAGAAGATGCGGTCCCTGCCTTTGAGGAGGTGACATTCTTTCCTTCTCTGAATCAAGGAGTCTCCTGTTCTCAGAGGTGGAGAAGAGAAGGGAGTCAATCAAGGGGTAAATCTCACTGTTACCAGGGGGGTGGGGACAGGGGTTAGGACATCATTATTTTCTATAGGGTTTGGGGATTCCTGTGCATTGTGGGATGGGGAGGGGTGGTGAGGGGTTAATTAGACAGCTGTCTAGGGGGAAATAAGATGAAACAATTTGGATCAGAACTGAACAACATGACACTGTCTCCTCTTTCTCCCAATCTTAGGTCCCGGTTTGGTAATCACATCCCCCTCAGGCTCTCTTGTGACCACAGCCTCATCAGCTCAGAGCTTCCCCATTTCGGCTCCCATGATTGTCTCAGCTCTTCCCCCTGGCTCACAAGCCCTGCAGGTGGTCCCCGATCTCTCCAAGAAGGTAGCATCCACCCTCACTGAAGAAGGAGGCGGAGGTGGTGGTGGAGGTGGCAGTGTGGCTCCTAAGCCCCCCCGGGGCCGCAAGAAGAAGCGGATGCTGGAATCAGGGCTTCCTGAGATGAGTGACCCTTATGTTCTCTCCCCTGAGGATGACGATGACCATCAGAAAGACGGCAAGACCTATAGGTAGGAATCAGAGCCAGAGGCGGGATAGGGTGAGGATTGCTGTCTCTACTTCCCCTGTGATCTTTGTGTCTTACCCACCCAGGCTTGACACAGACAGCTTTGTAGTTCAAGGCCACACACGTGCATGTCAGGTGTTCCCACTGCAGGCTGGGAAGGCAGAAGGCAGGACTGCTGGCACTTCTCCTATGTGCACACTCCCCCCTCTTTTTTTTTTTTTTTTTTTTCTTGGTCTTTTTGAGACAGGGTCTCTCTGTGCAGTTCAGGCTGGCTGGTCTTGAACTTGAAACAATCCTCCTGCCTCAGCCTCCCAAATGCTAGGATTACAGGCATGCACCACCATGCCTGGCTCCCTCTTCCTTTTTTTAGCTCCACTTTTGGTGGTCAGTGGTCATGACTGACTTTTGAGTGACAGGAGAATGTCTCATAATAAGGCTTTAGACCAGGTTTGAGACGCTATAACTCTTTTTTGCTTTCTTTGTTTCCTATTGCTGTTTTCCCAAGAATGCTTTCTGGTAAGCACCTAACCTAGTCTGTGTGCCATCCACCAGCTTTTGGGCCATATTTGAGCCTGGAGTCTGCCTAACCCCTCATGGTTGGGATGATGGGAGGGGTCTACAGAAAAAGGTGGAAGGAATAGGATACTTCCCCCTTTGGGAATATATGCTTATAAAATGACTGCTTGCTCTCTAATTTGTGGAAGTCATTTTGATGCTCTACTTTCTCAAGTTGTTGCCAAAAGCCGTCATCTGCACATTTACATGTGGTATTATGCAGAAATAATTGCATAAGTAAATACCCTGCCCTTTGGAAGTTGAAAATCTTAATCCTGTTGAGCTGTCAGGGGCCCTTGTGGGTTTGGGTTTGGTCCCAGAATGCACAGTGGGGATAACCACTCCCACAGATTGGATGCAGATAGGGACAGATGTGCATGGCTGGGAGATGGAATCTGTCCTTAGTGTACCGAGATGGGCAATGTTGTTCCCATTTTAGGAGCGAAGGGAACTGCGCCACAGGAAATGGACAGAGCCTTGGGCTCATGGATTCAGTTCCCGGCTCCACCACGAACTTGCTGTGTGACCCTGGGCAAGTCCTTTTCCCCTCTCTGGGCCTCAGTTTCCTCATGTAAAATAGGGAGAATTCTGTTCATATCTCCCATTTGTTGGGAGTATGTATATCATATGAACTTTGAATATTGGGAACTTCAGAAAGATGAAAAATAGTCATACTTAGCATTTACTTTATTTGCATTATGTAGCTCTACTGAAGAGAGTAGCTACAATTACACTGTTTAAATCTCTTTATACATGAAAACAAGGCCTTTGTTGCTGTGCAGAAAGTAATGAGCACTGCAGTATTCCAGGTCATAATGCAAAAGTTCATTGCAACTTTATTTTACAGGTGTACCCCGCTTAATATAATTAGTATTCCTGGAAAGTGTTTACAGCATATCATGTTATAAAGGTACATAATAAGTTTTACTCATTTAAAGGGATTTATATATTCATAGTATGGAAAATCCCTTTGAAGTTTATTGTGTAGAAATCTAGATTTTTATGTTTGATTAAAGTGAGGTCACAGAGCCATGGAGAGCCATCTGTATAAAATATGCTGTTGGAAGTGTGGGAGGCTTCTCCAACCCCCTTGGGAGCACTTCTGACACGTCAAAGTGCTGTGATTTTCCTAGGTCCTATTTGTGTTTGGCTTCTGAGTCCATGTTACAGTTACCTCTGGACTTCCCAAACTATATAAAAAGGAGTATGACTATATAGTTGGAAAGAGGCCTGATAGGACTTTCCATGCCCTCAGTGTTTTTGGTGTTCTTGAAAGACCCCTACAATCAAGCAACTAAAGGGAACTATGAAATTGAAGGTGACTGATTGTGTCATGGGTACACAGTGTTCGTTCAGAAACTCAGAGCTTGGGTGTTCTGGAGAAGTCTTCAGTCACTGAGAGTGCTGTTCTTGCACATGTGGGTCACCATCTCCATTGCAGTGGTTATAGTGTTTGACTCAGTACTGGGGGATTGGGTTCTGAAATTCAGGGTGAGCCGACTGGTCTCTGACTTTGTTCAGTGTATGCAGTGGGAAGATTAATCACGTGCTCATTTATCTTGGGAAAAGTTTTGAGAGAAAATCATCTGTAATTGTCTTGAGCATCTTAGGGGAAAAAAACAGGACAATAATTCAGAATGGTCATTGTGTCCAAGACTACTGTGGTGCATGCCTCCAAAGCCATGTTCTTATTGTGTTGGATGTGAATGGGGCCTCGGGAGTAAGTCACCCAGGGATGTAAGGTGCTGCCTTTCTGTCCCCTGCCAGTAGCCCACTGCCACAATTCTCTTTAAGCAGATTTCTTTCCAGTCATCTAATGCATTAGACCCCTTTTATTCTTATTTGGGTTCACAGGATTTCAAAGTTAGATATAAAGGTTAAATATCTCTTCTCTGAGTGCTGAGGACAAGAAGTGTTTTGGATTTTTTCCAACTTCTAGAATATTTGTACATACATAGGAGATTTCATGGGGATATGTTCGAGTACAAACATGAAATTCATTTGTTTTCTGTACGCCTTATACACATAGTCTGAAGCTAATTTTATATAGTACTTTTAGTGAGCCTGCATTTTGACTGCCACCCATCATGTGAGGTCAGGTATAGAATTTTCCACCTGTGATGTCTTGTCAGCTACAAAGTTTTGGATTTTGGAGAATTTTAGATTGTGGATTTTTGGATTAGTGATGCTCAGCCTGTCCACTAATGGTCAGTTGGACCGAGGCTAGTCCCTTCACCTGGTGGATGATTTATCTAGCCTTTGCTTCTATAGCATCAGGGGTCTTGTGTTAGGTTGCCTCATGGCTCTCTAGGGAATAACTCTCCTACTTGGCTTCTGAGCCTTTGTGTTTCTGTAAAACAGGCAGGGATAATAACTCGTCAGGTTGCTGGGAGGAATAGCCAATGCCGGGCATGAAATCACAGCATTCAGAAGGGCGAGGCAGGAGAATTGCCGCAAATTCAAGGCCAGCCCGAACTACGTAGTGAGACCCCTGTCTTAGGAAAAAAAAAAAAATAGTGCCCAGTGTCAGGCAGTATCAGGAAGAATAAGAAGTGGCAACTATTGTTATTTCATTATTATGTTTGGTACCTTTGGAGACTGTTCTCTTTTTTTTTTGGCCAGTCTATTGTTAATTAATTGAAGCTTTGCAGATTCTTCTGTATTTGGAAAATTTGATGATGAGAGTTACTTCTTTTTTTATAATTAACTTTCATGTTAAAGGCATAGTTGTGTGTTTAACACCTGAGAAACAAGCCTACTGAGATTTTATTTGAGGGGCTGGGGATTTAGCTCAGCGGCACAGCGCCTACCCAAGCAAGCGCAAGGTCATGAGTTCGATCCCCGCTACTGCGGGGGGGGGGGGGGCATTTTATTTGAGTTAAAATCAAGTTATCAGAGCTGTGTATGCAGTTCAGTGGTAGAGCACTTGCCTAGCATGCACAAGGCCCTGGGTTCAGTCCCTAGCACTATTCCTTTTCTTCTTGACTTGATTCTGGCAAACTATGCTATATCTTTAGTATAGTTCCCCTCCAAGTGACACTGGGGTCTAGTGCTAACCCCAGTCTTGATGAAATATTTGGTAGCACGAGCTCCTCCGTCAACACTGAGGCTGTTAGCATAAATGCCATTCTATACCTAGGGAAGACTTGGCCTACCTTTGCCTGGCCCTTCTAGGGGTGAAAATTGTTCTCTCCATGTTATAGACCAGGAAGTGAGATCTCGGTTAATGAGCAGGCTTGTAACTTTGTCAGAGCAGAGCCAGGGCATCCAGACTCCCATTGGCTATGTCCTATGAACCATGCTGACTACGTACAGAACCACCCTCGTCCCATGCAGTAACTGGGCAGCTGAGACATCAGTCAGGGCTTGACAGGCTGGAACTTAGATTTCCTTCAGAGTTATCAAGTGACTGGAGAAATGGGAAGTGGCATGAATGATGGGAATTTTAACAGTAATATAAGGCCATACCCAGTTAATTGTGGTGTTGTTTTCTCTGAGGAATTCAGTGTTTTTTTAGTCTTGATATCAGTTATTCTTTAAAAAATTCTCCTGACATTGAAAAAACACACACACAGATTAGCAACAGCACATCTCCCCAAGTCCCTCTTAGAAAATGGGGAGAACCCAGAGAAGAGACACTTGCTCTAGTTGCCTTGGTCAGGCTGCTGACCTTTCTGCTCACCCATATTGTATACTGGTGAGTTGTTAATGGAAATGATATGGTTCCAGCTCATGTGTAAATAGCTTTACCCAGTAAAGCCTGAAGACCTGTGGCTTGGCTGGTGCAGAGGCTTCCTAGTCTGATATTGTTGGACAGGAAAAAGAGTCATCAATCCAGGTGACGAATGAAAGCTACTAGGTGCTGATGATGCCACCCCGGAGTGCTGACATTGGCTTCATGTGCTAGGAAAGAAGTTTACCCTGGAAGTTCATTGTCTGGCCAAAAGATAAAAGGGGACAGTCTACTACTGCCATCTGCCTTGGCTTATGGAGGCTGGGGAGGCTGTGCTAGGTGATTGATGGAATAGCAGTAGCAGGGTAGAGTCCAGACACAGATGGTTTGGAAAAGCCCCTCTAAATAATTTTGAGACGGGGCTGGGGATTTAGTTCAGTGGCAAAGCGCCTGCCTGGCAAGCACAATGTCATGAGTTCGATTCCTGGTACCAGAAGAAAAGAAAGAAAGAAAGAAAAAAAAAAAAAACAATAATTCTGAGAGTTCTCCGCCTCCATCTTTCTAGGAATCATTGCCAAAAGTAGGGAAAACCTCTAGAGGACAAGAGAATCTAATTCTTCATCATGCTCTCGGGGCTGTACATAGGGAAATTGGAAAAAGGAGTTTTTAAAGGCTGAAATCAAGACAGATATTCCTGGCCCAGTAAAAGCCATATCCACCCAGATCCCTGTATTTTTCTGCCTTACCAACATTGAATTCTTGTTTTTATACACTTAGGAAGACCAGTCATTCAACAAACATTGATTATTTATAACTGTGTTAGAAGCTTAGGCTGTAAAGATGAGTAATAAACTATCCTCAAGGGCCTCATGGTGTAGTTAGAATAGGAGAGGGATCAAATAGTGGCTTCTCTGGGAAGTGGAGGGAGGGTTCAGCAGTGCTCCTGGTGGAAAGGGTTCTGACTGCTGCCTCACTTGGCCCAGGTGCCGGATGTGCTCCCTGACATTCTACTCAAAGTCGGAGATGCAGATCCACTCCAAGTCACACACCGAGACCAAGCCCCACAAGTGCCCACACTGTTCCAAGACCTTCGCCAATAGCTCCTACCTGGCCCAGCACATCCGAATCCACTCAGGGGCTAAGCCCTACAGTTGTAACTTCTGTGAGAAGTCCTTCCGCCAGCTCTCCCACCTTCAGCAGCACACCCGGTAAGGCTGCTCTTGGTTTTACCCACTGTCCAGCTGTGATCCCCTCCCCAAGGCCATGTGGCTTGTACTGACTCCTCTCTTCATATGTATTCTTTTTTACCTTTCATCTTTGCCCTTTGGGATCCTCAATTCTCTCCTGTTACTGTCTGTGAAAAAAATAAACTATATCCTCGCAGTGTGGGGGGCCTTGAAAATTGTGGTCTATAATCCCAAACTCTGGAACAATTCTTGTGATTTTTTTTTGTGTCTGTGTTTGGAAGTCTTCTGCAGAGCAGGCCCTGATTTTACTATATGCTTCAGTTCAGAACCCAGGTGTGCATTCAACTTCAGGTCCATGGGGAACAGGCGGTATTGGTCTGTGTTCAAATTGCTATTTGGAAGCAGGGTGTCTGTGGTGAGTGTGTGATCTTAGGAAAAAGCCAAGGGTTGACAAGACTGGATATTTTAATGCTACCAGAAGCCATGGGTCGCAGCTCTTCATCATCTCACTGCCATTCTAGCCATCGACTTACCATCAGCAACAACCTAGACCTGGGTGTCCTCTTCATTAGCCTCTCCAGGCCGGAGCGTGTTTGGGAGGAGGGAGGAGGGGGTGCTGTCATCTGCCAAGCAACATCATTTCACCAAGCAAAGAGCAGAGCCCGTGGTGTCGAACTGCTCCCTCCTCCCCCCTTCCCTCCTCTCCTCTCCGGCAGGATCCACTCCAAGATGCACACGGAGACCATCAAGCCCCACAAGTGCCCGCACTGCTCCAAGACCTTCGCCAACACCTCCTACCTGGCCCAGCACCTCCGTATCCACTCGGGGGCCAAGCCCTACAACTGTTCCTACTGCCAGAAGGCCTTCCGCCAGCTCTCCCACCTCCAGCAGCACACACGGTAAGGGAGAGTGGCGGGCTACTGACCCGCCCCGCTGGCATGCCCTCCCTACCCCCGGCCCGGACTCGTACGACAGCCCGCATGCGGGGGGCGGGGGAGAGGCCTGGCTGGAGGAGACCGTGACTGACATCGGAGACAAAGAAGACCAAGTATCTACAGTGGAGACTCAAGTGGTGAAGTGAGCTTTTCTGGAACAAGAGCTACCTCCAGGAAATATTCTGTGTGATGTCCCTGATCTCGGAGGCAGGCACCTGAAGCCAGGACAACTTGTCTTTCTCTTGTTTGCCTCCATGAAAATATCCATGCACATGTCTTGCAAGATTTCCTCTTTGATGCCAAAGCAGAGGCACTTCATTGGAGAAGACCACGTCCCTCGCCTGCAGAGCACCAGTTATGAATAGGAAATACTAGCTGGCACCAGCCTGGTTACACCCACAGCAACAGGCAAGGCTCCAAGAGATGCCAGAAGTCCAGAGCAAAACAAAACACCTGCTAAATATCATAGAGAACCAGCAAACAGATAGAAAAGCTGCTACTTTGTAAGGATGCCCATGTTCACCCGATGAACCTGAAGTGGCCAGGAAGAAGGGAGCCTGCCAACTAGAAGAGCTGATGGTCTCCTGCGGTGCTAGTTCAAGTTGAAGAGTCCAAAGGCCATCTCACCCTGCTTCTTGTGGACATGACAGTTTCAACTTCAAGTCATCAGATGTCTTGCTTGGAGAAGAGGAGTCAGACTTCATTCACAAAGCAGAGATGTGATATTTTCAAGGTTATAATGGAGGTCCAAAGGAGGTGGTTCTGAGCTTCATGATGAAGAGCAAGTATCAGTGCACTCTCGGGTCTTGGGCTTGTCTTAGTAGACGGTTAGGGAAAGAGGTCAAACTGGTACCAACTGAGGGATTTCCAGCCATGAGAAGGATGAATTTGGAAAAGCTCGTCAGATCTCCATGAATTCTCATTAATATCCCTGCTACTTTGCACAGTCAACATAACTCTGCTCTTCTTTGCTACCAGAGCCTTCTCTGGAAGTGATGCTCCAGACTGAGGGGGTAGTTTCTGGCTGTTCGGAGGAGGAATGTTGTATTTTTCTTTTTCCTTGCTGTTATGTTTACTTTGTGTTTTCGAATCACTTCCTGGCCTTTTGGCTAAGATCAGGTGTATCTTACATTTCTAAATGTTCACTGGGACAATTAATATAGACGCGAGCATGTATGCTAAATCATGGCCTGCTGGTACCTGGATGCTGAAGCCTTAAGCCTTCCTCCATCAGCAGCAGGGGCTTACCTTGAGCTGAGCCATACAGACAACAGTCAGAAGTCAGGTGTGAGAAACTGCTCAGGTTGGAGAGGAGCTACGGTGGAGCCTCCTGATGAGCTGCTTCCAGGGCACCTGGAAGGCCTCATGGAGGGCTACACAGGAGCTGTCCCGAGTGGCCTTGCTGACATCCATTCTCTATCTTCTCTCATCCTGTGCAGAATCCATACCGGTGATAGACCGTATAAATGTGCACACCCAGGCTGTGAAAAAGCCTTCACACAACTCTCCAATCTGCAGGTAAATGTTCCACCGTCCTCCAAGACCAAGGTGTGAGGGTTGGAGTTAGGGTACCTTGTGACTAGTGCAGTGCTTCTCATAGGTTTCCTCATAAGAATTACTGAGGCACCCAAAGAGCTTTGATCTGTATGGGTCATATCTGTCTAGGTAGGTATTGTGAAACTGAGACACGAAAAAGTACTTAGTAATCTTTTTAAAAAGAATAGCACAAAGTACTGGGGGTGTAGATCAAAGTCAAGGTTTTGGATTCAATGTTCAAGGGGCAGGGAGACAGCGGCACAAGCGCCTGCCTGGCCAAGTGCAAGATCCTGAGTTTGATTTCTGGTACAAAAAAAAAGTCAAAAATGGACTCAATGTTCAGTACCACCAAAAAAACAAGCTATGAGGTTTGATCGAAATACTGAAATTTTATGCTGGGTGTGGTGGCGCACGCCTGTAATCCCAGCACTCGAGAGGCTGAGGCAGGAGGATCATTGCAAGTTCAAGACCAGCCTGGGATACAAAGGGAGCTCAAGGCCAGTCTGAACTGCATAGAGGGGCTGGGGATTTAGCTCAGCGGCACAGCACTTGCCAGGCAAGCGCAATGTCGTGAGTTCGATTCCCGGCACCAGAAAAGAAAACAAAAACAAAAACAAAAAATGAACTACACAGTGAGACCCTGTCTCAAAACAACAAAAAAAATGAAATTTTAAAATTTTATTGCAATAAAAAATATACTTAATCCCCTTCAAAATCCTGTCCCTCACTTCATATATACCCCATTGTTCTTGCAGTTTTTGAAGCAGTTTTTTTTAACTGTAATAACTTGAACTCACTTTGTAGCACATGCTGGCCTTGAACTCACAGCGATGCTCCTGCCTCAGCCTCCTAAGTGCTGCGATTACAGGTGTGCACCACCATGCCCAGCCTGTAATAACTTTTTAATTTAACATTTATCATATTTTTCAGTCACACCTTGTATACAGCTGGGTGTGCTGGCACACACCTGTAATCCCAGCTACTGAGGAGGTAGAGACATGAGGACTGCAAGTTCTAAGCTAAGCCAGCCTGGGCAGTTTAACAAGATGTTATCTCAAGATATTGAAGGGGTTAGGGATGTAGCTCAGTGGTGGAGCACTCTGGGAGGCTAACATTAGTTTCAATCCTGTGGGCCCCTGAAATACTAGTGTTCTCTAGAGATCCCCATGCTTTACTTTGAGAACTGCTGTGCAGGGACAGCAGGTATAAGTTCCTTTCTTTCAGCACCCTGGTATGTGCTACATAAGGTGTGCTGTACCTCCCCCCTCACCTCTAGCTCCCCGAGTTCTGTGGAGGCCATTTCTTCTGCCTTTGATTGAAAGTAAGTTGGGAGGCCTGACACTTACTTACCTCAGGCCCTCCATAAAGTTCAGGGAGAATGGTGGGGAGAGCACCTCCCACTAATCCTGCCTTCTCCTGATTCTCAGTCCCATAGACGGCAGCACAACAAAGATAAACCCTTCAAGTGCCACAACTGTCATCGGGCGTACACAGATGCAGCATCGCTGGAGGTGCACTTATCTACACATACGGTGAAGCACGCCAAGGTGTATACTTGCACGATCTGTAGTCGGGCGTACACATCGGTGAGTGCTTGATTTCTTCCACATAGCCCTGTTACGTCTCCTGTGCCCCTTCCTTCTGGATAAAGATCTGTTACAACATAGCTGGATGTGGTTGCACATACCTGTAATCCCAGCGCTTGGGAGGCTGAGGCACGAGGATCATTGCAAATTCCAGACCAGCCTGGGCTACAAAGTGAGCTCAAGGTCAGCCTGGACTGCATAGCAAGACTCTGTCTCAAAAAAGACCAAAAAAAATCTGTTACAACAAATGAGGTTCAGAAGTAGAAATAATGAGCCCTATGTCTCAGAGGTTTAGGGGATGCCTGGTCCCCTTAACCTATAATGAGTGATAAGCTAGGATTTTTTTTTTCTTTTTTAATTTTTTTGAGACAGGGTCTCACTATGTAATTCAGGCTGGCCTTGAACTTACTATGTAGCCTTGAACTCACTGCAGTCCTCCTGCCTTCCTCTCATGAGTGCTGGGATTGCAGGTGTGTGTACCACCACACCCAGCCTTGATTCTTCATTTTACTTAAACATGGGGCAAAATAAAGCCACTTAAAATGTTCAGGGAGAAAGATTCCAGGTATTTTCTATTAGACTTCACAAAAACATTATAAGGTTGCTTCAGATATTTCTGAGAAAAATGGCAGCTTTTCCCTCTGCCATTGAATGTTCACAGGGCCCTCTAAAAATACCTGACTTAGGGGCTGGGGATTTAGCTCAGCGGCACAGTGCCTGCCTGGCAAGCACAAGTTCGTGAGTTCGATTCCCGGTACCAGAAAACAAACAAACAAAAACGAAAAAAAACCCTGACTTTTCTACTGAACAGTGAGCCTAAAAAGGGCTACATGAATTCTACTTCCTCCCAACTCAGGACTATTCTCCGTATAAATGTTGTTCACTTGATGTTGGGTAAGAGCCAAGGATGCTGATTTAAAAGTGATCTCTCCTCCTGCTTTCACCTCTCAACTTCTTTTTACCATCTCCTCAGGAAACGTACCTTATGAAACACATGCGCAAACACAACCCTCCTGATCTCCAGCAACAAGTACAGGCGGCAGCGGCAGCAGCAGCAGTGGCCCAGGCCCAGGCCCAGGCCCAAGCCCAGGCCCAGGCCCAGGCCCAGGCCCAGGCCCAGGCCCAAGCGCAGGCCCAGGCCCAAGCCCAGGCCCAAGCCCAGGCCCAAGCCCAGGCCCAAGCTCAGGCCCAGGTGTCCCAGGCATCGCAGCAGCAACAGCAGCCACAGCCACCGCACTTCCAGTCCCCTGGGGCAGCCCCCCAGGGTGGGGGCGGTGGGGATAGCAACCCCAACCCTCCGCCCCAGTGCTCCTTTGACCTCACCCCCTATAAGACAGCGGAGCACCATAAGGACATCTGCCTCACTGTCACCACCAGCACCATCCAGGTGGAACACCTGGCCAGCTCTTAGAGATCCATGCTGCCACCCACTGGGAAGAGGAGAAGGAAGTTTTGGTCCCTTCTTTCTCCAGCCTCTCTGGGCAGCCAAAGTCCTCTTCTTCCTGGACAAGCCTCGGCTCCGCCTCCTTGGGCCTCAGGCACGGCTCTCCGTCATAGCAGACCATCTTTATTTTCAACTCCTCTTCAAAAGAAACATCAGCCCTCAGGCAAAGGAATACTGAGCTGTCATCCAGCGGCCCCTCCTGAGTAGAGCTTTTCAAAATTGGGAGTTGGTGCTCACAAGAAGGGTTTGCTGTGACCTCACAGAAACTTGCCTGGTATGGGCACTTAACCTCTCCGATCCCTCTTCATCCTGAGTTTGGGGGACAGAAGACTAGAAGCTGGCTTCCTCATAACAGAAGGGAGCCCTGTGTGCAGCCCACCTCCTATCCTGTGCTTGCCTTCAGAAGAACAGCGGTTTCTCGTGTGCCCCAGCCTGAGAGCCATTCTCTTCCCTACAGATCTCACTCCACTTCCTACCTAGTGCTGGTAGGAGATTTGGGTGGGGATTAGACCTCCTTTGTTTATAAGGGGGCAAGGGCTGAGATGTTGTCCCCAAGGGGCCAGAGATTCCCCAGGTGGTCGAGGGTGGCTTGGAAGTGTGGGTTATCGTTTCACTTGGAGCCTCTCCACCTTCTCTGCCCACCAAGTCCCTGCACTCCTCTCCCTGTCTCAGCCCCCGAGGAGCTTGGGAGGCTCTGTGCTCCAGGACGAGGGTGTTGCGGAGAAGGGAGAGTTCAGGGCAAACACAGGACTGGACATAGCTCCCGAGGTGCCACGGTCAGATGCCGGACACGGATTTATATATAAATATATATATATATACATAAATATATATATATACCCGCTCATCATGGCCATCTTTGTTGTAACCATTTCTGTGTTTATAAATGCATTATCTCTGAGAATTTTCATATTTGATGTCTTATTTTATTTTTGTTTTTTTTTTTTTTAAAAAGTCCCCGTCTCTTATGGGCCCCGGCATTTTTTTTTCCTTTTTCCTTTTTTTTTTTTTTAATCATAGCAAATTTCGGAGAAGACAAAGAATCAGGAAACCAGTTGTTATACAGCAATTTAAAAATGAAAAAAAAAGAAAAATTTATGTACAAACCAAGGGGTGTTTTTAGAACATTGTATAGAAATAAATTCATGTAAAAGGATCAAAGGCAGTGGAACTGCTGATGTGAATGAAGGTGGGAGAAGCTATTCGGGGCACATTTGAGGCCTTAAGAATCTACACAGTGTGAGGAGTGAATGCGGCCCCCGTATGACTCCACAGCCATAGAAGGGTACAGCTTCATTCTCTTTCAGATGAATACTGATCTATGAGGACTTCTGCATACAGACTGTCATGAAGACTGCACTGCCTAAATATGTGAGAATAAGGTTTCAGTAAAGTATTAATAAAGTAGCTGTGCTCCCTATCCAAAACAACAACCAGGGAAACATACGTGACCCATTGAAAGGTTCTCACTTGTGCCTCAGCCACCCAGTTACTTGGTATTATTTTCAGTTGGCAGTGTGTACATAGACATGTGTTTAATACTTTGGCACATTAAAAACAGATGTTTCCAGGGGTGGAAACCGTAGTTATGGGCTTAGGTTGATGAACATTGTGAAACATTGAAGCTGGGCATCATGGCTCATGCCTATCATCCCAGTATTCAGGAGGCTGAGGCAATAAGATCCCCAAGAGTTAAAGGCCAGCCAGAATTACATAGACCTTTAAAACTAAAAATCCCATGCCAAGTGTAGTATAGCGATAATCACATTCCCCTCACATACAGGGCAGTTCTGAGAAGTAGAACAACTTCAGTATATATGCTACCCAAGCAAGCACTGAGGAGTAGAACATCAGAAAACTTAGACTTGCTACCTTGGCTCTGCCATGACCACTATTTACCATGCTGCTGCTTCCATAGTTAAATGAGGGATTACATGTTCCCACCAGTGGTTCAGATCTACCCAGCAGCAAGGCAGTAATTCTGTTGCAAATATGTTAAGCTACTAAGATTGGTTTTTGAAAATTAAAAACTTCCTGAGCACTGAAAAAGCTGTGATGGGCCTCACACATCTGAAAACTGGTGGCTGGCCTAGGACTGCTGGCTGATGGTGTTCAATACCTAGCAGGGTGTGCATAAGCAATACCTACTTAATTGGAGGCAAGGCAGAGATAGTGTCAGTATGTAGCGTGACACTAATGAGTGAGGCACATGTGACCACATACGTAATGTTTGCCTCTTCATCACCAGAGTGGAGCTGGAATCTCATTCACTGCGTAGAAAGGAAATGAAACCATCCAAGGGTATGACACCTGTGCTAGAATGTCTTGCTAGAGTGTCTTGCTGCTTCCTAGCACCTGCTCACTAGGAAAGGGCCCACTTGCCCTTTACATAGTAGACTCAGGACCTTGCGCTTCCAGGCAGGCACTTGTGCCACTGAGCTATATCCCTGGCCCCTGTAGGTCTACATTGTATGACTGAAAAATCTTGTCATTAAAAGTGTGCCTTGTGACATCAGTTATGAAGGATTGTGAATTAAGGGTAACACTTAGATCCAAGATACTGCTGGCTTTGAATTCTGTTTCCCTTATGTGACGGCCAGTCATGCCCTTGCCTTTTATGGTGATGAATAGTGTTGATTGCATTATAAATGACTACAGTAATGGGTGGCATCTAAGTGGCCCAGTTGTGGTACAGCTCAAGTCTTAGTCCCTTCAGAATCATGATGTTAACATCACACATAAATTCAAAAAAAGGGATCAAAGAGATGGGGTGTAATCAGTGGTTGAGTGCTTGCCTAGCATATGCCGGTTACTGGGTTCTAATCCCAGCACCAAGAAAAATAAAAACGGTCTCTCCTTTAAGAAAGGGAGGGCAAGGTCAGAAGTTACCATTTTCTTTTATGTGAAGGTATTTGAGTATAAAGTTCAGGAATTGCTGGGCGTGGTGGCGCACACCTGTAATCGCAGCACTCGAGAGGCTGAGGCAGGAGGATCCTTACAAGTTCGAGACCACCCTGGGCTACAAAGTGAGCTCAAGGCCAGCCTGAACTGCATAGTGAGACCTTGTCTCAAAAAGACAAAAATACATAAAGTTCAGGAACTGACAGAAGGCAGTATTTTATAATTTTATACTTTTAAGAAGAAAGTTTTAAAATAATGACTGGTGTAGCTCAGTGGTAAGAGTGCTTGTTTAATATCTGTGAAGCCCTGGGTTCAATCCCCAGTACCAAGGTTATAATAATAATGATGATGATGATGATGATATGTAGAACTGTTCGCATGAGTGAAGAGAACTGCAAGAGTGTTTAAATTTGCAAGGCCTGGTAACTCTGCCAAATCTTTAAATTAGCTACGCTAGAGAAAGTCACTTCAGCCAGGACCTGCTTTGGTTACCAGATTCATAATCTGCCAAAGGAAGTTGGAATCCCCAGTTGCTGAAAAGGGCTATTTATGGAATACACTTCCAAGGAACCCTTTTTTCCCCCATTACCACATCTTCCCCTTTTGGAGGGGAAAAAAAAAGTTCGCTAGAAAATGCAAAATGGCGATTTCCGTGACGTCATACCTGTCTCGGTCGCGGACCAGAGTCAGTAGGGGCGGAAGCGGGTTATAGCAGCCTCGCCGTGAGCAGTCGTGAGTACACACGCCAAAGGAAAAGTTCAACGTCGGGCGGATATGTCCGGGTGGATCCTTACTAAGGGCGGAAGTGCTTCCTTTAAGGGCGGAAAGGATCTGAGCTAAGAATAGCTTGTTCTAGTCACTTCCGGGGCGGATCGGAAGTTGCTTTGTTTTGCTTCAAGATGGCTGCTGGGATGTATTTGGAACATTATCTGGACAGTAAGAGCAAGCTGGAGGAGAGGGTCAGGGGTCATAGAGTGGTGGGCGACCGGGGCCGAGAGGATGTGCGTCCTGGAAGTTCTGGTGACGAGAAGGTCCCAATTTTGAAGAGGGATCTGCGGGAGGAAATATTGAGGGGTGGGAAGAAAGAGGGGGCGGGGCAGAAGGGCCGAGTCCTCGCTGTTGGGTGTAAAGGAAGGAGGGGCTGCCCGCTGGGGTTCAGGTATGTGTCTTGGGCCACCAGGAGTGGCAAGGAAATCTTTGCTACATCTGTACTCCAGTGTCTCTCTAGCCCCAGGGTGGACGCGCCCCACCCCCCAAATCTTCTAGAATCGGTAGCACTCGCTGCCGTTTGGAGCAGCCAGAAAGACCTGCTCGAGTGTCCTGCAGCCAGTTCTTTCTCAGGTGGCTTCTCACGGGGGTGGGGGTGCAGGTGGGGTTAGGGACTGTTGTCAGATGATCAGTTGAAAGGATCCATTTCTCACCAAATGGAAATCTGGGGTTATGTTTATGCTATTTAAGTAACCCACCGCTTCACTAGCCTGTCACCCTGTGTACTTAGGTTTGTCTTATTGGAGAGTCATTTAACATGCTTATTGAGGAACTGCTATAGATCAGACATAATGGCAGACACTGGGAATGTAACAAAACGACTGATGGGTTGGTATTGTAGCTCAGTAGTAGTGTTTGTCTAGCATACATAATGCCTGGGGTTCAATCCCCAACACTGCAAAGAGAGAGTTGGGCAGACATACCCAGCCTCTGCCTTCACGAGCTCATAGTGTAATGGGAAACAGATCCTACAGGTTAACTAATTATTAAACAGTGAAACGGAGCGTGGTGGTGTACACCTGTAATCTCAGCACTCCGGAGGCTGAAGCAGGAGGATAGCTTCAAATTCGAGGACAGTCTGGGCTCCATAGTATAACCCTGCCTCAAAAAAGCAAAACAAAGCCGGACATGGTGGCACACGCCTGTAATCCCAGCACTTGGGAGGCTGAGGCAGGAGGATCGTTCCGAGTTCGAGACCAGCCTGGGCTACAAAGTGAGCTCAAGGCCCCCCTGAGCTGCATATCGAGACCCTATCTGAAAAAGACCAAAAAAAAAAAAAAAGTAAAATATAGGAAATATTAGGAACACATTAAGAGGACAGTCGGTAAAACTCTAGAGAGATGGGATAACTATTTGGGGTTGCAGGTTAGTACAGACAAGGTGATTTTGAATGGGTTCTTGAAAGCTAAGCATGTTTGCCAGTGCAGAAAAAAAGTGAACTCACCAGGTGTGGTGGTGCATGCCTGTAATCCTAGCACTCGGGAGGTAGAGGCAAGAGAATTGTTGCAAATTTGAGACCAGCCTGGGCTACAAAGTGAGCTCAAGACCAGCCTGAACTGCATAGCCAGACCCTGTTTCAAAAAAACCAAAAAAAAAAAAAAGTGAACTCATAGTTGAGGAAAGGAGCAGCACAAGGATTGTGATGGGTGTGTGGCAAGGTGAAGGGAAAATGAGGGCAGTTTTGATACGTATGATTTGAAAGTGAGAGATTAGGAAGCAGAGAGACTGGAAAAAGTTTGCATTTGAAAATAGTTTGTTATCCTTCATAAAGGAAGATGGTTGCCATGGTAGCTCAGAACACCATAATGTTGGTAGCAAGGAGGTCATTTAGTGACCACAGTCTGGGTCAGAGATGAGGACCTGACTCAGAGTGATAGAAGTGTTTAGGAGTTAAATATGACAGTACCTACTGAGTGGCTCCGAGAAAGAAGAATCTAATGTGACTTTTTCCTGCCTGGAAAATGAGGCAGACGATGTACTATTAACAAGATAGGCAAGTTGGGAGTGATCACAATAAATTTTTTTTTTTTCTTTTTGGGACAGAGTTTTGCTATGCAGTTCAGGCTGGCCTTGAGCTCACTTTGTAGCCCAGGTTGGTCTCAAACTCACAGCGATCCTCCTGCTTTAACCTCCCAAGTGCTGGGATTACAGGCGTGGGCCACCATTTCATTCATTTTATACTTAAGCATAGAAATGGTAACTGTATCCAGGAGAGTGAATGGAATGAGATCACTCAAAGAACAGAAATGGAGAAGTCCAAGGCCAGCCTGAACTACATATTGAGACCTGGTCTCAAAAAAAAAAAAAAAAAAAAGCACTCCAGGAGGCTGAGGCAGGAGGATTGCAAATTTGAGCTCAGCCTAGGGAACTTAGCAATTTAGTGAGACCCTATTTCAAAATAAAAAGGGCTAGAGATGTAGCTCATTGTGAAGGTCTTGGGTTCAGTCCCTGGTACTGAGGAGAGAGAGGAGAGTTGAAATGTGATCTCTAGAAAATACTAACATTTAAGGGACAGGCTAAAAAAGCATCACTGCAGGGCTGGGGATATAGCTCAGTGGCACAGTGCCTGCCTGGCAAACGCAAGGTCCTGAGTTCAGTTCTGGTACCACAAAAAAAAAAGCATCAGTGTTGTGATTAAAAGAAGGTGTATGCTGATATTTGGAACCTTAAGGGAATGAGCTACATCGAAGGGAAATAGATAGTACACAAGAGCCCCTATTTGGTACGTACCCTCTGCAGCTGAAGAGAGAGCACTTTTTAAGAGAAGACTGATAACATCATTTGATTTGGTAAATCATCGATAATTTAAAATAATCTCTGTGAACTGATGGTGGCAGACCAAGATAAATTAAAAGTTTGAAGTGAAGTTGTAGGAAGAGGTTTTCTTGTAGGGTGAGAATTGATGGTCTATTTTAAGTATTCACTGAGTGCTTCTGTATGCAAGTCAGTCTTCTAAGCACTAGGGGGACAGGGCAGAACCAGACATGAGTTTCCAGCTTCCTGGAGCACTAGGAGAAGATGTCAGCTCAGTAACTAGACAGTTACAGTTAGGTAAGTGCTAAAAGAGTGCAGTGGAGTTGGGCACAGCTGAAGTCTCAGCTGCTTGGATCACTGAGCCGAGAGGATTGGGAATTTGATACCAGCCGGGGCAATGTAGTGAGACCCTGTCCAGAAATTTTAGAAATAAATCAATAAAAAGGGCTAGGATGGTCTGGTGCAGTGGCACACACACACACACACACACACACACACACACACACACCCCGTAATCCCAGCACTTGGGAGGCTGAGGCAAGAGGATCATTGTAAGTTCAAGGCCAGCCTAAACTACAAAGTAAGATCCTGTCTCCATAAATAGATAGACAGATGGACAGACAGGTAGATAGGGCTAGGATGAAGCTCCCTAGTAGAGTGCTCACCCAGCATGCACAAAGCCATGGGTTCTAATTCTTAGTAGTACTGAAAGAAAAAGAATAAAAAGGCCAAGAGAATACTTTGATAACCTATATGTACAGTATTTGGCAGAGTCTGGAAAGATCAGGTTGGGCTGGTTTGTGTTATATATCTCTTTTTGAGTACTGGGGATCAAACCCAGGTCTTTACTGAGCCCTTTTTATATGTTTCATTTTGAGACAGGGCCTAAGTCACTAAATTGCCCAGGCTGGGCTTGAATTTGTGATCCTCCAGCCTCAAGCTTCCAGAGTGCTGGGGTGACAGGGGTGTGCCACTCACTGTACCTAGTTTGAGCAGAACTTTGAAGAATGAACGTGAATTTCGCAGGCCAGAAGGTACGGCAGAGCTGGCCGGGTAAGGAAGGCCAAGGGGGTTCCAGGCCTGCAGAAGCCAGTGTACCCGGAGACTATGCAAGGGGGCCTGCCCTGGCTAGTGTGGGCAGGTAAGGGCCAGAGGTGCAGAACCTGCCACCTGTGCTGAGAAGTCGTGGGAAGTTTGTTAGTGGGAGAGTTGGCTTTTTTTTTTTTTTTTTTTTTTTTTTTGAGACAGTTTGTGAAGTTGCGTGGTCTGCCTTCAAACTCCATCCATTGCCTTAGCCTCAGAGTGGAGTAGCTGGGGTTATGGTATGGGCCACCACACCCTGATACTTTACTCTCCCTGCTCCTGCAGTGCTGGGGATTGAACCCAGGGCCCTCACACTGAGCTACCTCTCCAGCCCTTTCTTTATGTTTTATTTGAGACAGGATCTTGCTAAGTTGCTCAAACTGAATTTTAACTTGGGATCCTCCTGCCTCGGCCTCCCCAAATACTGGGATTATAGATGTATACCACTGTACCCAACAGTTTATGTTGTTTATGTTTTTTATCTTTTATTTATTTATTTTTGTCTTTTTTGAGACAGGGTCTCGTTACGCAGTTCAGGCTGGCCTCAAACTCACAACCATTCTCCTGCCTCAGCCTCCTGAGTGCTGGAATTACAGGCAGGTGCCACCACAACTGGCTTACATTTTTTGAAAAAATGTTCAAGCTACTTTTATGGACAGTAGCTTGGAAGTGTGTCATGTGATTAGTAGTTCAGGGTACCAGGATGGTTTGGGGTTTGTTTTTGTTTTTGTTTTTGAGACAGGTTCTCACTCAGTAGTTCATGCTTGACTTTAACTCACTATATAGCTCAGCCTGGCCTGAAACTCATAGCAATCTTCTTGCCTCAGCCTCCTGAGTGCTGGGAATGCAGGAGTGCACCACCGTGCCTGACATTAGGTTTTTTTGAGATAGGGTCTAGCTATATAGTTCAGGCTGACCTTGAACTCAACTATGTACTGCAGGCTGGCTTTGAACTCACAGCAGTCCTCCTGCCTCGGCCTCCCATAGTACGTGGATTACAGGTGTGCACCACACATCCAGCCACTGTGGCACTGTAAATTAGAGCAGGGAATGTGGAGGCAGTGATTGAAGCTAAAGGAAGGAGAAAAGCTGAATAAGGTCACAGCAGAGGAAAGTGGTGGACAGTTTTGCAGAGGTGAAGTTAGTTGTGGGGAGAGAGAAGCAGATACAGCCTCTTGTGAGAAAAGTGTGATTGCTGTCACCAGTCTAGAGGTTTGAGGGAGGGAAAATGAAACTGCATTTTACAAGGAACCATAGAGGCTGAGTGTGGTGGTGCACCCTGCAAACAAGCACTTGGGAGGCTGAGGAGTTTGAGGCCAGCCTGGCCAGTTTAGCAAAACCTTCTCTTAAAAATGGGCTGGCGGGGGTCGGGGGGAAACGGACTGGGGGTGGGCGTGGTGGCGGAAGCCTGTAATCCTAGCACTTGGGAGGCTGAGGCAAGAGGATCCTTGCGAGTTTGAGACCAGCCTGGGCTACAAAAGTGAGCTCAAGGCCAGCCTGAACTGCATAGTGAGACCCTGTCTCAAAAAGGCAAAAAAAAAAAAAAGTAAATTTGGGGACTGGAGTATAAATTAGTGTTGATCACGTGCTAAGTCAGTTTTCTCTCTTCCCTAGGTATTGAAAACCTGCCCTTTGAATTACAGAGAAACTTTCAACTCATGAGGGACCTGGACCAAAGAACAGAGGGTGCGTACCGAATAGGGACTCTGTGGGAGAGGAGGACGTATAACCACTCATTCTTGTGCTTGCTCGTACTGTGTCACCTGGCACGATCAGAAGAACCGTGGCTTTCTTATTTGCTTTTCTTTTTTTTTGGGTCCTGGGAATTGAACTCAGAATCTTGTGTTTGCCAGACAGGTGCTTGTGCCGCTGAGCTGTATCCCTGCCCCTCTTTTCTTATTTTCTTGCAATTCTTCTTTTTTTTTCTTTTTCTCTGTTGCAGTTCCCAAGAGAGAGAGTATTGACGATCCTCATTTCTGTATCAGCTTTTCCATAACCAATGGAATAGAGACAGTGTCTCAAGAATCTAAAAGATATGCCAGGCATAGTGTGTATATGCTTGAGATTCCAGTGGCTCAGGAGGCTAAAGCAGGAGGATCTCAAATTTTGAGGCCAGCCTGGGCTATTTCAAGACCAGCCTGGACTACAGTGAGATCCTGACTCAAAAAGACAAAAAATATCTGGGTGTGGTAGCACATGCCTATAATCCCAGCACTCTAATCCCAACACTCGGGAGGCTCAGACAGGAGGATCATTGCGAGTTCCGAGATCAGCCTGGGCTACAAAGTGAGCTCAAGGCCAGCCTGAACTGCAGAGCAAGACCCTGTCTCAAAAAGACAAAAAAATAGATAAACTAGCAAAGGATGGGGGTGGGGCTCAGTCCCTTAGAACAAAGCCTGGGTTCAGTCCCAGAACTGTGAAAAAGAGAGATGCTATGATCTTTATGCTTTCTTCAACAACAGTTTAAGAAGCTAGGTGAGGTAGCACGGGCCTGTAATCCCAGCACTCAAGAGGCTGAGGCAGGAAGATTGCCATAAATCACAAGTTCAAAGCCAGCCTGGACTACAGAGTGAGACCCTGTCCCCAAAACATTAAAGAATAATTCAAGAAACAAAGTGGACTCAGGCCATTTCTGCTGTTCATGTTTGATGTATTTATAGGAACATGGAGTGGTTCCGCCTCACGGAATTAACTGTCCCAGAATTACAGTTGCGGCTTTAGATAGCAGTTTGTGTTGGCAGACAGGTTTGCTACATGAGATGTTATTTTAAAAAAAAGAGAGAAAAGAAGAAAAAGAAAGGCAGCATTTAACATTGGACCTTATACTATGTTCTTCAGCCTGACAGAAACGAAATCGTCTCAGGCCTCAGAGTTTGAGCAGATTGCACTGCAGTGAGCCTTTGCTTGGAGCCAGTAACCCTGGAGGGCAAGAGGGTCTTAGCCCTCTGTCCTGTGTGGCCCCACTCCAGGTGAAATGGGCCGCCGTTAGCCCCCTTAAAGCTGTGCCATAGGTTCACTCAAGAGGTGGAGAGCCCAGCTCAAGCACTGCCTGCTGCCTTTTTCCAGTACAAGACTACCCACTGATTGATGTCCCCAGTCTTTTTAAAATGTTGTGCTTATTGGGCCAGGTGTGGTGGTGCACGCCTGTAATCCTAGCACACGGGAGGCTGAGGCAGGAGGATCGCAGCAAGTTCAAGGCCAGCCTGGGCTACATAGTGAGAGCCTGCCTCAAATTTATTTTATTTATTTATTTTTTTTTTTGGTTTTTTTCTGGTACCAGGAACCAAACTCACGACCTTGTGCTTGCCAGGCAAATGCTGTGCTGCTGAGCTAAATCCCCAGCCCCTGCCTCAAATCAAAAAAAAAAAAAAAGACTTTCTGTTATTTGCTCATACACAGTATTGGGGACCTGTGGGTATAGCTCAGAGGCACAGCACCAACCTTGCAAGTGTGAGGTCCTGAGTTCGATTCCCAGTTCCAAAAAAAAAAAAAAAAAACAGTTGAACCCACAGTATTGGGGATTGAATGCAGGGCCTCTGCCATGAGGTACATTTTCAGCCAGCCCCCTGTCCCATGTGGAGATAGGCTCTCATTAAGTTGCCTATGCATTACTCAAATTTTTGGTCCTCCTGCCTCAGCCTCCCACCGTGCTGGGATCAGGGGTGTGTGCTACCACACCTAGCTTTCATTTTATTATTTTTTGGTAGCAGTGAAGGTTGAGCCCGGGAGCCCTGAGCTACTCCTCATCCCTTTTTATTAATTTTGAGACAAGATCTCACAGAGTTACCTAGATCAGCCTTGAACATGTGATCCTTCTGCCTTAGTCTCCCAAGTAGCTGAGGTCACAGGTGTAGAACATTGCACCCAGCTCAGTTCTACCTCTTGAGTCCCTGCACGAAGACCAGCTGGGAATGATGAAGTGTGTGCTTTTTGGCTTCTTCCAAAGGCCTGGAGTGAAGGTGTCATCGTCCTAGTGTGTCTTAGGTGCTTCCTGTTAGCTGCCATGTTGCTGTTAGAATCACTCTTGCCTCTGGCCGTTGACATTTTCATGAGCCCTGGCAGACACGAGGCGGCAGACAGCTATCGTTGGGGTCCTGGGACATCAGCGGCCTTCCAGTCAGTGTTAAACTGTTGGGAGCAGTGTAAAAACTGACGGGAAATAGAAGCAAGCCATAGATGAAGGGGCAGGCGGGGCAGGCAGTATTAAGGAGGCCTCAGCTGGAATCAGGAGACCTGGCAACCAGAGCAGCCGATGACCCAGCCTGGCTCACGGCAGGCAGAGCTGCTGTAGGGTGTTTTTGAGATAAGGAACAAAATGGCTTTTGGGGCAAAATAATTCATCTAAAAGCTGCGAGTCCTGCAAAGAAGCATCTTCAAACATCCACCGAATGTGCTTACTCTCACTGTCGTGTGCAGAGTCCGTCAGTGTGGCAGTGATTAAGTTCAACTGTCCTAGCCTTGTGCAGCACCCTGAAGGTACCTTAAAAACACCTAGTGTCAGTGTGCTGCCTCTGGAGTGCACGGCTTGGTACCTGCCACATTTGATAGATAGGTTTTAGTCTGAAGGTTACAGTGGTCTGTGGAAGAGGTCTGAGGAAGGAGAGGAACAAGCGTGCCTCGTCTGGCTGCCTAGGGCTGTCGTGACCAGGCCTCTGTCTCTGTTGTAGACCTAAAAGCTGAAATTGACAAGTTGGCCACTGAGTATATGAGTAGCGCCCGCAGCCTGAGCTCCGAGGAGAAGCTGGCCCTGCTCAGACAGATCCAGGAGGCCTATGGCAAGTGCAAGGAATTTGGTGATGACAAGGTGCAGCTTGCCATGCAGACCTATGAGATGGTATGGCCCCGTCCACGGCCCCCCATTACCTCTCGTCTCACCCTCGGGGCCTCCTCTAGCCATGCTGGGATCCGTGTGGGTCTATAAGATGCATACACTCTGCCTGCTCTTCTTTGCTGCCTCGGGCCCACCCTTCACCTCTGTCTTCTCCTTCCCCACCCCAGGTGGACAAACACATTCGGCGATTGGATACAGACCTGGCCCGTTTCGAGGCGGACCTGAAGGAGAAACAGATCGAGTCGAGTGACTACGACAGCTCTTCTAGCAAAGGCAAAAAGAGTGAGGAGGGGGGTGGGCCACAGTGGGCGAGGACCGTGGAGAAGATGCAGCTGGCCTGGGGGAGGAGCCCTGGCTGGAGAGGGAGGAAGGAGGCCTTAACCCATCTTCCCGTCTCCGCCTTCTGGCTCCCCCCCTCTCCCCCAGAAGGCCGGACTCAGAAGGAGAAGAAAGCTGCGCGTGCTCGCTCCAAAGGCAAAAATTCGGATGAGGAAGCCCCCAAAGCTGCCCAGAAGAAGTTAAAGCTCGTGCGCGCGTGAGTGTGTCCGCTGCCATCCTCTGCCACCTCTCCTGTCCTCTCCTCTTAACGCCCCATACCACCCTGCACGATCCCCACCCTCCTGTCTTCTGTGCCGGTTGCTTGCCCTTCCGTTTGGTGTCTGCTAGGGAGAGCAGGAGCCCCAGCCCACGCCCCTCCAGGCTGTCCTCTGCCGCCGTGAGCACCTCACAGGGCAGCTTCTGGCCAGGGATGACACTTCCCTCCCTCTTGGCATGCAGAAGTCCCGAGTACGGGATGCCCTCGGTGACCTTCGGCAGTGTGCACCCCTCGGATGTGCTGGATATGCCTGTGGATCCCAACGAGCCCACCTATTGCCTTTGTCACCAGGTCTCCTACGGAGAGATGATCGGCTGCGACAACCCCGATGTGAGAGCCCTTTTCCTCAGGGTGAGGGGTTTGGAGAGGCCGAGAGCGGGTGTAAAGTGGGGTGGCCACGATGGAAGAGCGGGACTTAAGAGATGATTGGAAGCCAGGCACGGGCGTGTGCCTCTAATGCTGTCCTTGGGAAACTGAGGCAGAAAGATTACTTGTACCCAGGTGATCTTGAGTTTGGGGCAGGCTGGGCAGCATAGTGAGATCCCAGAAGGGACAGTGGTTGGAGATGGGTAGCGTTGGATCTTTTAAGAAATCTCCCAAGAGTTGGGCGTGATGGTGCCTTCCAGCACTCGGGAGGCTGAGGCAGGAGGATTGCATTGCTGTGAGTGTGAGGCCAGCCTGGGCTACAAAGTGAGTTCAAGGCCAGCCTGAAAGGCATAGTGAGACCTTGTCTAAAAAAAAGAAGTCTCCCAAGAAAGCGACTGCAGGGGTGCTGAAGGAGTCTGTGCTCCACCTCCTTTCTTCCCGGCGGCCGCCCAGGGCCTGACCACTGCGTGTCTGCCTTCTTCCTTTCTCAGTGTTCCATCGAGTGGTTCCACTTTGCCTGTGTGGGACTGACCACCAAGCCCCGGGGGAAATGGTGAGTGAGGATGTCTGCGGGATCTGGGCGGCCCTACAGCTGAGCGGCAGAGGGCGCTCTTCCCTCCACTCACCGTCAACACCCTACCTTCTAGGTTCTGTCCACGTTGCTCCCAAGAGCGGAAGAAGAAGTAGATGACGCCTTGGGTTCCTTGCAGTTTCTTCACATCTCCTGACCAGGGCTGGTGGGCAGAGGCGTGTGCTGGGCCAGGGGGCTGGGAGAAGCAGATGGTGTGGTGCTGTCACCCCCTCTCCTGGTCGCTCGCTCCCCACTCCCATGCCGAGGCTGCATCCAAACCCTGCAGGGAGGGTGCCATGGCCACCGATGGTATGTGCCCTCATGCATCCAGCCGTCCCCTTCGCAGGAGTGCGATCTTGCCTGCTGTCCTGTGCCTCTGTGCTGAGGTTGGTGCTGTATTTCAGAGGGAAGGTCCTCCTCACTCTCCTTGCTTTGGATTTAAGGACGGGGCAGTAACACTGGGCATGCCCCTGCCCTAATCTCCTCTCCCGCAGGGGCTAGATGTGTAATACACCTCCCCCCATCTTTCTGTTTCCCATGGGAAGGTCCCCCAGATCATCTGAGCCGTGGCCCTAGTTGAAGGGACACCTGAGGGGACTCATCCCGGCCTTGTGAGTGGGAGAAGGGGGTGAAGTGAAATGCAGATGACTCCCATGTAAAAGGAGTTTGGTAGGTAAATAAAAGCTATCTGTGTTGGCCTGCCGTGTTTATTGTAGACTGTTGGGTGACACATGCTCAACTTCTCTGTGTGTCTGTGGGCTGATGGAGGAGGAGGGTGGAAAGGGTGACACCCCGGAAGTGGGGCAGGCAGGCAGCTACAGTGGTCCCTGGACCACATCCACAGGGCGGCCGGGGCCAGGCAGAGCTGGTGGGGGTGCTGCCACAGGCTGGGGCTCACAGCCTTGGTTGGACCTACATTTCCCTCCACGTGGCCTCTCTGTTTCTAACCAGTGATGTGTCGGTGTTACATATATGGAACAAATATGGCATTTTCTTCCCTGCTTCCATGGATGGCCCTGCTTGCCTTTTTAACCATCTCTGGGGACCCTGAGCACTCCCTCTTGGGAATCTGCCTTCAGTGATGGGTTGGTTCAAAGAAGATAAACCAAGCAGATAACCAGCCTAACCAACCTCGGGAATTTTTAAAATGGGCCAGGGATGTAGCTCAGTGGCATAGCGCCTGCCCAGCAAGTGCAAGGTCCTAAGTTTGGTTGCTGGTACCAAAAAAAAAAAAAATTGAAAGCTTTAAAAGTTTTGTAAGTAAGGGGAAGAGGGGTTGAAGGGAAGGAAAGGGAATGGGGAAAAAAGAAGATACATCATGTACAGGTACAGACTCTCTATGATGGATTTTATCGTTATGTGTACCTAAACTACCATAAAATAAAAAATAATAAAATGAAGGTTTATATGTTTACACAGCCGGGTTGTGACTCCCAAAGTTTCCCGGGTGTCTGGGTTACATACTGTGGGCCTAGGAGTTGGGGGAAAGGTGACTGAGCAGAAGGGGCCAAGCAGGTGAGGGTGATTGGCTGAGCCAGTGCTTGCTTTGCTTTGCTTTTTTTTTTTTTTTTTTGTCTTTTTGGGACTGGGTCTTGCTGTGCAGTTCAGGCTGGCTTTGAGCTCACTTTGTAGCCCAGGCTGGTCTTGAACTTGCAACGATCCTCCTGCCAGAGCCTCCTGAGTGGTGGGATTACAGGAGTGCGCCACCACGCCGGGCTAGTGCTTGCTTTTCTAAGTTTCTGTTTTTCTGACGATATCACCAGCTCAGAGTTGAGTTAAATTCTGCTTTCCTCTCAGAAATGATGTGGTGTGTCTGCTTGGAATGGTGAGGAGCTGTTTTCCTTCTGGCCCATTTCTTAGTTGAAGTGTCCCCGTCTCCTGCCTGAAGAGTCTGCCTGTCTTGTCTTTGTCTCTGTCTCTCTCCTCTGTCTTGAGAAATGGTCTTGCTATGTAGTTTAGGCAGGCATCAACACAGGGAGATCCTCCTGCCTCAGCCTCCCAAGTGCTGGAATTACAGGCTTGTGCCCGGCTTCTGCCTGTTTTGTACCTTGCACCTGTAGCTTCCCCAGAGCGTCAGAACCACGCCTGTGTCCCCATCCGGGTCTCCATCCCTTGCTCTGGGCCCATCATTGGTGAAACAGGTCCACCTGCCGAGATCCCCGACACCAACACCGAACTCCCGAGCCCAGGGCGCAGCCCATGCCCCGCCCTGCCCTGCCCCGCCCTGCCCTGCCCCGCCCCGCCCCGCCCCGCCCCCTTCTGTGACGTGGGCGGTGCCTCGGCGCGGTGCAGTCCGCGAACCAGGCTCGCTCGTTTGGCCGGTTAGAGGCTCTGATCTCCCTCGAACATGGGGCAGCCGGCTGCTGGCTCCCTTCTGACACTGCTGAGGGGTAAGAGCCCCGTGCCCCACCAGTCCTTGAGAGCCTCCCCAAAATGCGTTCCCAGCCGCTTTCTCAGGGTGATCGTGATGGTCTGCTCTTCCTTCCTCTGAGGTCCTTCGCCATGTCCCCCTGGACCTGGCCTCCATTCCTAACAGCCCCTCAATCTCCTAAGCGGGAGCCGTCCGCCTGGGACCCCCACCCTGCTCCGCCCCTAACTTCCACAGGTCTTCCGCTGGCGGCCCTCAAGTGCCGGCGGGCGTTTGAGGCGCGCCCCTCCCATCCGTCTGCATCCCCTCCGCAGTGTTGCTGCTGCCCGTGGGACCTACTGTAGCGCAGGAGTTGCCCTCGGCCCCGACTCCAGGCAGTCCCCTCTCCCCCACCGAGTATGAGCGCTTCTTCGCCCTGCTCACCCCTACCTGGAAGGCGGAGACCACCTGCCGCCTCCGCGCCACCCACGGCTGCAGGAACCCCACCATCGTCCAGCTGGACCAGTATGAGAACCACGGCCTGGTACCCGACGGTGAGGGCCCGCTTGCACGAGCCTTGTGCTCCCCACGGGGCAGAAGCCTTGCTGTGCCCCCAGCCCGCGCTCACGCCGCCCGCCCTCCCCAGGCGCAGTCTGCTCCGACCTCCCCTACGCCTCCTGGTTCGAGTCCTTCTGTCAGTTCTCTCAGTACCGCTGCTCCAACCACGTCTACTATGCCAAGGTGAGGCTTCCTGAGGAAAGCAGGGCCAAGGGGGAGAGGGTGATGGGGGATGAGGAGAGGCGTGGCAGGCCACCCCTAGACCCGCCCACCTGCCAAGGTGCCTGCCACCCACCCGCTGACCCTGTCGTGTGAGGACACTGCCCCGTGCGGCCTTCATACACATGAACAGTCCTCGACGCCAGCAAAGCAGACAGACGGATGAGGAGAGGGAAAGGTGGCCCTTCCATTTCTTGTAACAACCCAGGGACTTTACCAAAGTCAGATGCTCAACAGTAAAGCCCAGGTGTGGCCCAGAAAAACAGACTGTCTTCTACGGAGTCCTTGTCAGGACGAGAGGGTCCCTGTGGGGACCAGGTTCCTTCATCCCTGCCCGGAAGCGTGGGAGAGGCCACAGGCTGGCAAGGTACTGAGCAATCACTGAGCAGGGGTAGCCTGCCCTTTGCAGAAGCCACCCCACTCTCCCTGCAGAGGGTCAGGTGCTCCCAGCCGGTCTCCATCCTGTCAGTGAACAATTTCAAGGAGCTGGAGTCTGCAGCAGAGGGGCCCCATACCGTGATGACCTCACCCATCACACCCCACGTCAAAGGTGAGCTGCTGCCGGAGCCTGGTGAGAGGGAGTTGGATGGGGAGTTCTGCTTAGGAATACAGGTTAGGGCTCTCCCTTCCTTCCTTTTTATTTTTCCAGACGGGCTCTCATTAAATCACCAAGTTGCCCAGTCTGAGCTTGAATTTTGTATCCTCCTGCCTCAGCCTCCCATGGTGCTAAGATTATAGGTATGCACCACCTTGCCCAGCTTCTAATAGCTTCGTGTTTTGAAGGATTAGGCTGCAGGGAGGTGTGGCTCAGTGATGGACTATGTTTTAGATGCACCAGGCCCTGGGTTCAATTCCCAGCATCAGCCCCCCACCACCTGCCCATAGGAAGGATTACTTGCTAGCTGCTTAGACTCCTTAATGGTCCCCAAGGCAGGGGGCGGAGAGGCGGCATTTGAGATGTGAGTTAAAGTAGAACTCTGCCAGGTGTGGTGATGCATGCCTGTGTCCCAGCACTTGGGAGGTGGAGGCAGTATCTTGAACTGATCAGGCCCGCAACCTCCTAAATGAGTGGATGGTAAATGGCTTAAATAAAAGAGACAAATGGTATAATTTTAGGGCTCCAGGAGGATCAAATCTCTCTAAAGGAATCTGAGAATCCCTGGGGGTTGAGATAAAGAGCTTGGGCAGCCTGTATTTATTTGGTTTTCAAACAAAGGAAGAGGATATTGAGGCAAGGAACTGAGCAGGACCTTGGGAGTTAGTTTAAGGACCTTTCTAAGTAGTAAATTTTGCCAGTTAATATAGACTGTCTCATCTCTAGGTTGACAGTTACAGCAGGAGTAAAATGGCTGAAGCTGCAGTCTCTATCTAGTAAATTGGAGTGAGAGCCAGCTGTCCTCAGCTGTGGGCTTATCTTGCCCTTTGAGGCATCATGACCTCACAGGCCACTACAGGCCTCTGCTGGGACCAGTGATTCATAGAGATTCACTTACTATGAGTCCATTGCTGCTGTCCAAGCAAGGGGCTAGACCTGGGACAGACTCACAAGTATAGAAAGCCAATTGATTACCTTTACATCCTGCTCAGGGCCCCCCCACTTTTTGTCTGTTTTTTTTTTTTTTTTGAGATAGGGTCTCTCTATGCAGTTCAGGCTGGCCTGGAACTCACTTTGTAGCCCAGGCTGGCCTCGAACTTGCAATTTACAACGATCCTCCTGCCTCAGCCTCCCGAGTGCTGGGATTACAGGCATGCACCACCATGCCGGGCTCTCAGAGTCCCTTTGTAGCGGTTTCCCTCAAGGCGGGAGGATTGCCCCTAGTTCAAGCCCAGCCTAGGCTACATAGTGAGTTCAAGTCCAGCCCCTGAACTACATAGTGAGACCATGTCTCAAAACAAACAAACAAAATGCACTTATAAGGAAGGTAGGAAAGGGTCCCACTGCTGCACTTGCCATGGTAACAGTCCTTCATTTTATTTGTTTGTTTGTTTTTTGAGACAGTCTTGCTATATAGTTCAGGCTACCCCTGAACTATGTAGCCCAGGATGGCCTCGAACTTGCAGCAATCCTCCTGCTTCAGCCTCCCAAGTGCTGGGTTTACAGGTGTGTGCCACCATGCCCAGCCGGTCCTTCATTTGTTGGTTTTTGGTACCAGGACTCGAACTCAGGACCTTGCACTTGCCAGGCAGGTGCTGTGCTGCTGAGCTATATCCCCGACCCCATCCTTCATTTTGATATCCCATGCATTTCCTTTTTTTTCCTTAATATACTTATTCTCTCTTCTTTCTTGGTCCTCCCCGAACCCTGCTGCAGCTACAGAGCGACAGGCATTCCAGGCCTGGCCCGAGCGGCTCAACAGCAATGTGGAGGAGCTGCTGCTATCCTCCTTGTCACTGGGAGGCCAGGAGCAAATAGACAGTCACAAGCAGGAACCAGGACAGGAGCATCACAAGCAAGACCCAACACAGGAACACAAGGCAGAGGAAGGGCAGGAGCGCAAGCCAGAGGGAGGGCAGGAGCACAAGCCAGAGGAAGGACAGGAGCAAGAGGAGGAGGAGGAGGAACAGGAGCAGGAGGAGGAGGGGAAGCAGGAAGAGGGCCAGAGCATGGAGGAAAGCCTGGGCACGGTGTCCAGCCTGCAGACGGGCTCCGAGCCCAAGCCACAGTCCGCATCTCTGTCTTCCAAACTTCACGCCTTCACCGCCCGGGTCCGAGAGGTGGACGCGCCTCCTATGATGATGGAGAATATCCAGGAGCTCATTCAGTCAGCACAGGAAATGGAGGAAATGTACGAGGAGGACACTTACTGGAGAAACCAGAACCATGGCAGGTACAGGAAGTGGTGGCTCCTGAATGGCCCTGCCCTCCTGCCCACACCTTTGAGAGTGAGAAGCCCACACTCCCAGCTTCAGCCTGTGGACCCGCTCAGAGCCTCCTGGGCTTCAGGCTCAGCTAGCAACACTGGCCTCTCCTCTCCAGTGCCCACTTGGCCTCAGCCCTTATGCTGAAGCCCCAGTGCCCATCCTCTGGCATGATGTGGTACGGTGAGCCTTGAACCTGGTGCCACCAGCCTGGGGGTCAGATCTTGTTTCCAGCTCTGATTAACAGTGCAGCCTTCAAAAGGCTCTTTCTCCCTTCTGGATCTCAGTTCCTCATTTGTTTTTTTTCTTGTTTGTTTTTTGAGACAGGGTCTCAGTATGTAGCCCAGTCTGGCCTCAAACTCATGTGATCCTCCTGCCTCAGCCTCCCAAGTGCTGGGATTACAGGCATGCAGCCCCATCCCCAGCTCTTCAATTGCTCATTTGCAAGAGGAGGCAGTTAGTCCAGGGCTACTGAGGGCCATGATAAGCATGCTGAATGTGTATGACCAAGAACAGCTGCTCAGGGGACAGGGAGAGTAGATGTGGCTTCTTGCCTCAGCCCCCAACCCATCCCCACCTGCACTGTCTTCTTGCAGCCTCCTGCAGCTGCCTCACAAGGAGGCCTTGCTGGTGCTATGCTATTCCATCGTGATGAATAGCTGTGTCCTGACCCCCGCGGCCAGGGCCTGGAAGTACCTGGAGGAGGAGACCTTTGGTTTCAGGAAGTCGGTAAGCCTGCAGCCCTTCAGTGAGCGTGGGTTCTGGGCATCCTAGCCCCAGAACTCGAGAGGGCCAGGTGGAAAGAGTCAGTATGAGTGAGGCTTCCTTCTCTGGAAGGGCCTCTCCCCTGCATTAAAGGTGGAGGGCTGCACACCTCTCCCCTCAGTCCATCTGCAGTACTTAGCTGTGTCTCAGACATAACTCTCCCCTTGAGAAGGGTCGTAGAACCCACTGTAGGCAGTCTGTAGAGATCCAGTCTCAGTGTGTCTTCTGTCCCCAGGAAAATACACTGCAGGGTTTCTTTCGCTGTGGTTTTGAAATGGGTCTCACTGTTGCCCAGCCTCCTGCCTCTGGAGCTCCTGGGCTTATGTGATCGTCCTGCATCAGCCTGCTGAGTAGCTGGGACTACAGGTGTGCACCACCATGCCAGCCTCTAAGTTTTCAAATAATACAAATAAGCAAATATTTGTTGAAAGCTGGGATGACCACCTTCATCTACTTGTTCACAAATCCTTGGGGCACCAGCTCTGTCTGAGGCACTTGAGATGCTAATGGCGCTCTGTGGGGATTTGGTCAGGGAGGGAGGAGGACACAGGCAGCACAGTATGAGCTGAGTGCTGAGACGCCCAGAGGACAGACAGTGCACATGTGCCAGGAGGACTGCACTGGGTTTGGGAAGATCACAGAAGGCTCCACAGGGGCTCAGAACCCGGGAGATAAGGGGTTAACCAGGCAGGAGAAGGGTCTGGTGGGAGATTCCTGATAGTGCAAAGGCCTAGAAACAAGAAGGAGTCGAAATTTCACAAAGGGCTCAAGTAGACATACTCTTTCTGTCCTTCATGGACAGAAGGGGTTCTTTCCTTTTCTTTTTTTGGTATGTTTGAGACAAGGTCTCCTATCAAGAAGGGGTTCATACTGGTAAATGTGTAGAAGGAGTATGGTGGGAGTCGGAGGGAGGTTCTTATTTTTTATTTATTTTTGTCTTTTTGAGACGGGATCTCACTATGCAGTTCAGGCTGGCCTTGAGCTCACTTTGCAGCCCAGGCTGGCCTCAAACTCACAATGATCTTCCTGCCTCACTCTCTCGAGTGCTGTGATTACAGGCATGTGCCACCACGCCTAGCTAGGGGGAGGTTTTTAAAGACATGTAAGAAGAGCCAAGAATAGAGCTATATACCTGTAGTTTCAACACTGTAGGAGGCTGAGGCAGGAGAATTACAAATTCAAGCCTACCCTGGGGGAGCTGGGGATTTAGCTCAGTGGCACAGAACCTGCCTGGTTCAAGCGCAAGGTCGTGAGTTTGATTCCTGGTACCGGAAAAAAACAAAACAAAACAAAAAAAAGCCTACCCTGGGAAATTTAGTGACTTATACTCTGTCTCAAAAATTTTTAAAAAGGGAGGCTAGGAATATAGTGCAGTGTGAGGGGCCTAGGTTCAATCTCCAGTACTGCAAATCATTAACTAGATAAAAATATAAACATGTGAGAAGAGCTGAGCTTGGGAGTATATAGTTCTAATCCCAGCTGTCAGAAGGCTGAGGCAGGAGGATCCTGTTGTTTGAGACCAGTTTGGGCAACTTAGAAGACTCTATCTCAAAATGAAATTTAAAAAGCTAGGAGTGTAGCACAATGAGAGAGCACTTGCCTAGCATGCACAAGGCCCTGGGTTCGATCCTCAGCACAAATAAGTAAAATTAAAAATAAAATAAAAACAGGTTAATGGTCCTGGAGAGTATCCTCCGGATGCTTTGCATGAGGGAACAGGAGAGTCCATTCTACCTGGAGCAGAACATTTATATTTAATTTGGTAAGTGAAGGGAATTTGATAGAGATTTTGAGTCAGGGACATGCCAATGCCTTCTTTGCGTGCTTCTGTGAAGAGTAAGCAGGTTGCCAGATGAGGCAGCACTCTGGGAGGCTAAAGCAGGAGAATTGAAAGTTTAAGCCCAGCCTGACCAGTCCGGTAACTTAGCAAGACCCTGTCTCAAAACATTACGAAAGGGCTCAGTGGAGTAAGAAATTTTGTACACTGTTACAGACTGAACCGACAGGTAAGGAGAAGGACATGGATGGTCTGAGGGTACTGCCTAGCACTAAGGATCTTGGGCAGGGCAGAGTCCAGCTAGGAGATGAGTAACCCTCTCTCACTCTGAGAAGATTTTCCAAGAATCTGCAGGGATTTTTTTTTTTTTTTTTTTTTGAGACACGGTTTCATTGTGTAGTTCAGACTGGCCTTGAACTCACTATGTAGCCCAGGCTGGCCTTAGACTTGTGGTGATCCTTCTGCTTCAGCCTCCCATGTGCTGGGATTACAGGCATATGCCAACCATGCCCAGCGAATTTGGAAGTTTTTAACCAGGTCCTTGGCAGAACATAAACTTTAGATTTTGAAGGACCTGGATCCCAAGTTCACAAATTTTTTCCCTCAATCCTTCCCATGAGGGTTGAGCCCAGGGACTCATTCATGAGAGACAAGCACTCTACCGGTAAGATACATTCCCAGCCCTCTTTAAATTTTTATTTTGAGACAGGTCTTGCTAAGTTGCCCCAACTGCTCTTGAACTCAGTATCCTCCTGCCCAGCACCCAGCTCTACCTATTATGCATGTTGCTTTGAACAGTGTACTCAACCCCACCAGCCTCAGTTTCCTCGTTAGTGTGTTATTGGTATTTGCACCGTGACAGGCTTCTCTTTTTTTTTTTTTTTTTAATGACAGGGTTCTTAAGAGAGTGGATGGCCATAGTGCTAGAAGCTCGTCACCTCCATAAACATTAGCGTTAGCATTAGCAGAGAAGGGAGGAGCACTACGAGTTCTTCCACGAGAGTTGTCAGAGGCGACCACAGAGCACCCAGTGGTAGACGTCTGTCAGGCCTTTAGCAGTGAGGTGACAGGGATTTGGTGTCACCTGCAGATAGATGCAGACTGCTGAGGAGTAGATAAACAGCCAGGAAGAGGGTGAAGAAGGAGCTGAGGCCAGGCCCCTGGCGCCTTGGAGAGGGAGGCAGGAGGTGGCAAGGCCTGAGAATAGCCCAGAAGAGACAGCTCAGCGACTCAGCCCCTGAGGGCTCTGCAAGGCTGAGGCACAGGAGAGGAGGGCTGAGTCCTGGCCTCAGCCTCACCCATACACCCCCCCAGGTCTGTGACAACCTCGGACGGCGACACATGGCACTCTGTCCCCTCTGTGCCTTCTGCTCTCTGAAGCTGGAGCAGTGCCACTCGGAGGCCAACCTGCAGCGGCAGCAGTGTGACACGTCCCACAAGACACCCTTTATCAGCTCCTTGCTCACAGCCCAGACCATGACCATGGGCACCCAGGTACTTCGGGGCAGCCTGCATTGGAGCAGGAAGGGACACTCGGGAGGCCACGGGCAGGGCACACACCTTTGCTGTGCTGCACCCCAGGCGTCATCCTCGGAATCAGGCCGCTTTTATGGGCTGGATCTGTACGGCGGGCTCCGCATGGATTTCTGGTGTGCGAGGCTGGCCACAAAAGGCTGTGAAGACACCCGGGTCTCCAGCTGGCTCCAGACGGAGTTCCTCAGCTTCCATAATGGGGATTTCCCCACCAAGGTGAGACCCTTTCCGACCTCGTGACCTCAGGTGTGGACCCCCCACCCCCGCCTCCTACCTCTTTCTGACAGTGCTGCACACCCTCCCTCACACAGCAGGCTGGGATTTGGCAAAGCAGCAAGCACCAGGCCCGGGGAGAGGAAGCTTGGGACTGGCAGGCAGGAGACAGACCATTCTGTCCCAGTGCTGACTGGCTTCGGCCCAGTCACTGCCCTTTCCAGGCCAGTTATTCTCATCTCTACAATGAGAGAGTTACGCTCATCTCTGTGATCACATGAGTAATCCCAGATACTTGGAGGGCTGAGACAGTCTAATTACAAGTTCAAGACCAGCCTGGGTGCCATAAGTGAGAGCTTGTATCAGAATAAGATGTAAAAGCCAGGTGTGGTGGCACACACCTGTAATCCCAGCACTTGGGAAACTGAGGCAGGAGGATCACCTGGAGTGTGATGCCATCCTGAACTACACAGTGAGATCCGGTCTCAACAAACAAACAAACAAACAAAAACCAACTACAAAATAAGTAAAATGTAAAAAAGGGCTTGGGGGTGTAGCCCCCAAGTGATAGAGTGTACACTTAACATATCTGTGGTCCTGGGTTTGATCCCTAGCTCCAAAAAAACACAAACACACTGAGTAGTACATGTCTGTAATCCTGGTGTTCTGCGAGGCTGAGTCAGGAGGATCATAAAGCTGAGTCAGGAGGATCATAAATTTAAGTCTGCTGAGCGTGGTGCGTATGCCTGCAATCCCAGCACTTAGGAGGCTGAGGCAGGAGGATCGTTGTGAGTTCAAGACCAGCCTGGACTACAAAGTGAGCTCAAGGCCAGCATGAACTGCATAGCAAGACCCTGTCTCAAAAAGACCAAAAAAAAAAAATTAAAAATTAAAAAAAGAAATTTAAGTCCAACCTAGGCTAATTAAGGAGTTAGTGAGATCCTATAAATAAATAAATAAGGACACACACACACACACACACACACACACACACACACACACACATACACGGGGCTGGTAGCTGAGTTGAGGGACCATGCCCATGCCCATGCCCAGATCTTATCCCTGGAACCCCAGATCTAGAGAGAGCCTTGGAGATCATCTCTACTACTATGCATTTATAGATGGGCCTTGAGGCCCAGAGAGGCAGGTGATTCATACACTGACACACAGCAGAGATTCTCCCACCTCTCCCACAGTTACCATCCCCAGAAGAACCACTGTTGTTTGGACTACTGATAATTGGGTGATTCTTTTTTTCTTGAGGTGCTGGGGATCAAACCCAGGGCCTCACATATGCTAGGCAAGCAGCCGACCACTGAGCTACACTCCAGCCCCTGTTCTGACCCTTAAGCACCCCCTTCTATTTCCATTCTTCAGTCCCCTTCCCAGCAGCTAGGCCACTGCTTTGATTCTCCCAGACGCCTGGCTTCTTCCCAGACCTGTGCCAGAGGTGGGAGGGGACAGCCCTGCTCTGTAGAGAGGAAGTGTTCCCCAGGGCCCTGCCTCCCTTCTGGCCCTGTGTCACAGGTGACTTCTGGGAACAGGTGTCCTGCCTGGCTTCTGCTGACCCCCTTTCCCCACCCTGGCTCAGGTTTGTGACACGGACTACATCCAGTACCCAAACTACTGTTCCTTCAAAAGCCAACAGTGCTTGATGAAAAATCGGAACCGGAAGGTGAGCCCCTCACCCTGCTCCCAGCTTCTGCTTCCTCCCCCTGGGCCACCCCAGGTACTTTCCTTGCATCTGGGGCAGTGCCCTCCATAGAGGCAGCCGCTGCTGCTGCAGTCTGGGAGTGAACAGCCCTCCCAGGCAGCAGGGCCTGGGGAAGTTGGCATCCAGAGGAAGAACAGCCCAAGGACACGGCAGGTGGAACCCTTGGCTGGGCTGGGAACTGGGTGCTGAGTCAGTCTGGCCTCCTGTTCTTACTCACCCCATAACTTAGGATAAGTCACTTCCCTTCTGAGCCTCAGCCTTCTCATCTCCAGAAATGGGGGGTGGGCCACTCGGTGTCTCCTCTGGGCTTCCTCCTCCCTCTACTGTCTGCCTTTCCTGCTCCTGGGACTGCTGACACCTTCTGCCCTCATGCTGTGGATGCCTGGTTCAGGGACACAGACCACAGCCCAGTCCTTTCCTAGGTGTCCCGCATGAGGTGCATGCAGAACGAAACCTACAACGTGCTAACCCCAAGCAAAGGGGAGGACCTTGTGCTTCGATGGAGCCAGGAGTTCAGCACGTTGGCTCTAGGCCGCTTTGGATGAGCTGGGTCCATTCTGTCCCCACCCCAGCTGGACCTTTCCACATTCTTCATCCATCGCTTCGAAACCTCATGTCTCTTGCTTCCAGGCTGCCCCTCTTGGGTCTCTTATCTAGCTCAGATGCACATTTTCCCAGGGCTAGGGCTGATGGGACCTCACCTGCCTTCATGAATATTGTTACATAAAGTGATTATTTTCTGCCCATGTGGCCTGCTGTGGCTTGAACTCCCTCCTCGGCACTGGCCCCGTGCAACTTGGGAGTAGGTCCCCACCCGCAAGATGTAGGATCCCTCTGCAGATGAGAGAGCTGCATGGGAATGGTACTTGGGGAAACAGAAGACCCAGCAGTCAGAGAACCAGACTGAGGAAGGCCATGGCTGCGGGCTGGAGGTTCCCAAGCAGCATGGGTAACTGCATTTCTGAAGCTGTGGACCCCATGATCTCAGTGTGGGTAGAAGCCAGAGCATGACTGTCGGGGGATACCAAACCCCCACAAGTAGGGCGTGGCTGGTACTGGGAGGGAGGGAGGGCTCAGGGAGGTGCAGCTTGGAGCTCAGGAACCCCGTGACTCGATGTACAAGAACTTGCCAGGTAATCTGAGTGATGAGATGGTTGCATCCTGACAACACACATTGAGATATACAACTCTACAATTGGTCTTGAACAAGTTAGAACTTCCCAGTGTACTTTCTGGAGGAAACTTTAATCTCTTCTATAAACTCAACAGTCATTAGCAGCATCCTCCCCAAAACTTATTATGGAAAAGTTTAAACATATACACAAAGAAATGGTGGTGCACACGTGAAAGTCCAGCATTTGGTGAGGCTGAGGCAGGAGGATGGCAAGTTCAAGGGCAACCTGGCAACTTTATAAGATCCTGTCTCAAAAAAAATTGTTTTTGTTTTGTCTTTTGTTTTGTTTTCTGAGACAGGGTCTCGATGTATAGCTCAGGGTGCCCCTCAATTCACTTATGTAGCCCATGCTGGCCTTGAACTTGTAGCAGTCCTCCTGCCTCAGCCTCCCAATGCTGGGATTACAGGTGTGCGACACCAAGCCTGGCTTCAAAGTAAAGTTTTTTAAAGGTTAAGGATGTAGCTCCCTGAGAAGACCTTGGGTTTAGTCTCGGGCACCCACCCCCACAAACTCATGCACAAAAATTGTTGGGGATATGGCTTAGTGATAGAATGCGTGCTTAAGTTGCAAGAGTCCCTGGTTCAAAGCCCAGCAGTGCCCAAACAAACAAGCATCCCAAAAGCCTAATGTGCCAGGCGTGGTGGCGCACGCCTGTAATCCCAGTACTCGGGAGGCTGAGGCAGGAGGATCACTGTGAGTTCAAGACCAGCCTGGGCTACAAAGTGAGCTCAAGGCCAGCCTGAACTGCATAGTGAGACCCTGCCTCAAAATGATCAAAAAAGGGCTGGGGGTATAGTTCAGCGGCATAAGTGCCTGCCTGGCAAGCGCAAGATCCTGAGTTTGATTCCCAGTACCAAAAAAAAAAAAAAAAAAAGGCCAGAAAAAAGCTATTTAAATCATCTTCATGAATCCAAAAGCCTAGTGCACCTTCCTGGGTCTGCCCATAGTTTCATGATCAATGCATCATTCAACAGCACCTTAATCTGTGAAGTTCTGTGATAACTGCTTAACCTAGTGTCTCCCAAGCTCACCTGACCGCAGTGCTTTTTCTTCTTACAATGAAAAATTTTCACTTTTTGCTTATTGAGCATGGCTCCGGATGTTTATTGAGGGGCTGTGCTCAGCTCCTCAGCTGGAGGGTCCAGCAACAAGGGGCTGTGCTCTGAGCCCCCATCCTCCTGGAGCTCCCAGGCAGGGCAGTAAAGAAGCCTCCAGCCTGGTGCTGCTGTGAGGCATGCGTGGGGCAGGTGACTTGCCGAACACTGGTGGCCTGGGCTAAACCACCTGGCTGACCCAAGAGGAACAGCACGTGGAGGGGGAGGGGTTGGAGAGAACAGCCAGAGGTGGTGGGTTAGTCATAGGCATCATGGGGTGGGTGTGCCCAGTGAGTTCCCGGAAGCCAGAGCAGCAGCCACTGCGGGAGTGAGGCGCGGCAGTTGGGGCTGGATGGAGAGTCGTTTGCTGCCAGCTGGCTTTCTCGGGCCAGTCCGAGGCACCTGAAGTTGCAGTTCCCTCTCCTCTGGCTCCCTGGCCTCTTGGGGCTGGTTAAGAAGCTGCAAGGGATGGGGCCAGCTGGGTGTGTCCCCCCTGCTGGCCCAGAGCAGGTCCTGCCAGCCTAGCCCAGAGCAGGCAGCCCAAGTCACTCAACCTGGGGCAGCAGCAGAGTGACGAAGGAAGTGCAGGTACGGAGCGCGTGCCGGGTGGTGTGGGCCTGACGGGGCTCAGGGTAGCAACCTGCCTGTGGGAATGGGGGCCACAATGGGGACAGGTAAAATGGCCCGCAGGCTCTGAAAACCTTTCTGAAGAGAGAAAAGTGCCTTTAGCAGATAGAGTTCAGAGGGAGCCTGACAGGCCCACCGGCCTGACACCCAGAAGTGAAGCCGGCTCTGCTCTGGGGGCTCTCCGCCCCTCCCCTTTACTTAGGCCCCATTCTCATGTGGAGCCCTGGGCTTCCCCAGGAGACCCCTGGTCTGCCTCCAACCTCTGCCCACTCTGTTAAACCACCCCCCTATGCCCACTTGCAGCACGTGGGGGGGGCGGTTCTAGAAGACCAAGAGCTACTCTGATTCAAGTTTGCTAGGGGGTTCACCGGCACAGGTGTGTTGTTATTATCCTTCCCAGGTAGCTAAGGTGTTTATATGCGTGCAGTACTGAGGGCTGAACACAGGGCCTTCGCACTGAGCTACATCCCCGGCCCTTTTTTTATTTTGAGACAGGGCTTCACTAAGTTGACAGGTTTCCCCAGCTGGCCCCAAACTTGGGATTCTCCTCTCTCAGCTACCCTGTCCTGGGATCACAGGCGATCTCCACCCCTGTCTGCATCCAAGGTGTGTTTTATTTGTCTTTGTATGCCTCTGTCTCTGTCTCTGCCTCTGTCTCTGCCTCTGTCTCTGTCTCTGTCTCACTTCTTTTTGCAGTGCTGGGGACTGCACCCAGGGCCTGCAGCATGACAGGCGGATGAGCCACATTCAGCCCCCAAGACACTCTTTAGTGGGGTCATCTATAGGAGAGGCTGGGGCTACAGAACCTGTGTCCCTACAGCTGTGACAAACTGCAGTTCATGAGCAGCTTGAGGGAAGACGTCTCAGATATTGGGCCCAGGTGCAGGCACCATGGAGAGGGCTTTCTGGGCCTCTGGGTCATACCAGCAGGCCACTGCCTAACTACCTGTGTCTGCGGGGCCTCCACCATGCAGAGGGCCCACAGGGGATCTCCGAATGCCTCCTTTTAGGGTGAGCCTAAGTTGTAGCCCCAAAAGAATTGAAGGACACACCTGTGTGTGAGCCTCACCTCCCAGCTACCCAGACACTAAGGCCCAGCTCCCCACCCTTCACCCCCAGTGTGTACCCATAAAAAAGAGGAGGAGGAGACAGCAGAAAGGGGAGGGCTGGGGCGGGGCACAGCGGTGGAGCATCTGACCAGCATGTGTGGGCCTGGGTTCAGTCCCCGGCACCAAGACAAAAAAAAAAAAAACAAAAAAACCAACACAGAGTGAGGGCGGATGCCAGTGCTGTACTGAGTTCAAAGCAAGGTCACAGAGGCCAAAAGTCTCCAGGGAGATCGCCCAGAAGAGGCCCGGCTCTTCAGACTGAAAGCAAAGGTAGGGTATACATGGGAGGGGGGGACCTCATTTCCTGTTTTTCTGGCTCTTGAAAGCAAGGTGGAGGGAGCTGTGAAGGTGGCGGGGTGTCATCCACACATCAGGGAAGCTACTGAGCTCCAGCCTACCTTTGTTTTTTGGGTTTTTTTTTTGTCTTTTTGAGACAGTGTCTCGCTATGCAGTTCAGGCTGGTCTTGAGCTCATTCTGTAGCTCAGGCTAGCCTCGAACTCTGCAAAGATCCTCCTGCCTCAGCCTCCCGAGTGCTGGAATTACAGGCGTGCACCACCACACCCGGCCAGGCCACCTTTGAGTTCTGCCTTTTCCCAGGAAATTGTGGGGAGGAACAAGGTCCAAGTGGCCAGGGTGGGAGAAGACACGGCTGAGAGTGGTGTTGGGGAGGCAGGAAGAGACAGGCTCCGGCGTGGACCAGGCATGTGGGGGCTGGAGACACCTCCCGCCCTTTAGGGGGGCCCCTGGGCACTCAAGAGAAGACCCCTGCACCCCTGGGCAGGATGTCCTGGCGACCTCAGGCTGTCTCCATACCCTGACCTTCCATCTCCCCTTGCACCTCAGACCCAGGGTAACCTGCTGAGCAGGATTTACCTGTGCCCCCAAGCAACTTTGGGACTGAGCTGTTCAAAAAGCAAAGCAATTAGGTTAGGTGAGGGCTCCGGAGGTCAGCGCAGTGGGGACCCTTTTGGGGAGTCTGAGTACGTGGCTCTGGACGGGACTTTAGAGCAGTCTTTAGTGGGGCCAGGCTGCATTCTCCCCACAATTCCTGAACACAGACACAGAGGGAAGTGGGCTCAGCTAATTTAAGTAGTGGCCTAGCACATTCACCAAAGGGTACAGCACTTCCTATGTCAGGCATCACATACCAGGAGACTCGAAACGAGGTTGGAGCTACCCAGCCCAATCGTTAGGGGCAAGGAAGATGGGGAGATGTGAGAGTCTTTTTCAAACTTCTAACTCTACAGAAAAGGCAAAAAGATGGGAATTATTATAAAGAGGAGGCAAAGAGAGATGCTTAGTGCGGTGGTGGCGAATCTATGACACGCGTGCCACAGCGGGCTGTTTGTCCCGTTGAAAGCTCTGAAAGGGTCGCCATCGCTGCTCTAGTGCATGTGTGGAGGGTGCGCACGCACGCGGGGCAGACAGAAGTTGGAGAGAGGAGAGGTATTTCTGTGTCCCCTCCTGTGCCGATCTTTGTCCTAAATCACCTAGTCCTTTGTCTTCAGCTCCCTCCACACTGCTGGCCAGTCGCCAGAGGAGGTGGCACCGAGAGCAGGGTTGTGGGGACAGTGAGGGAATGATCACGATCTCGCCTCCTGCCCACTTTGACTCCCTGGTTCTGCTTCCTGTCTGGGGCAGAAAATAGCCCTGCCCCTCTGGTTTATCTCAGCCAAGTGCAGCACCCAGCCCAGCTCAGAGGGCAGTGGGACAGGTCCCAGCAGCCCTGCGGAGGTAAGGTGTGGGCTCCGAAGTGACGTGGGAAGCTAAAGGACAGAGACGGAGGAAAGGGCTGTGCACCTCCAGTGTTGGGATGGGGCAGGGTGGGAGATGTGGGGGGCACAGTCCCTCTCTGGTGCTGCTGTGGAGATGGTGCTTTGTTTGCCCCAGTGCCTTGGGGTGGAGATCTGTGCAGTCTGCCTGGGGACTTACTTGGGAGCCGCTTGGTTCACGTGTCTGGGTAAAGGCAGGGGCTGGTGTGCCTTGCGTGTTCCGGCCCAGCTGTCTGTGACATCCTTGTGTGTTAGGGGGCACACACGAACACTGGCGTGCACGTTTCCGTCTCTCAGCATATGTGTGCTTTGTGTCTTTGCACATATGTTACAACAGTGTGGTCACGGTCCCACATCAGCGTGCTGCTTCCCACGTTTCTGAAGCTTTGCACACCTCCATGTCCCTCCTGCTCCCTGGTGACCTCAGCGACCCTTCTTTGTGAGGCAGCTGCTGTTTTCTTTGATTCCTGAGTCTCCCTCCAACCTGACCTCTCTCTAAGGCAGGGGTAGGGGGCTGGGCCACCCCACCCCCACAGCAACACCCCTCCTGCCATTTCCTGTTTGCCTCCTTCTTGGCAGTTTTTCCCATCTTTACCATCTGGCCTGGCTGTGTGCCCATGCAGCTCCACAGATGGGAGCCCCAGGGTAGAGGGGGAACCAGCTGGGGGCCAGGGCAGTGGCTGGCGGTTCTCAGTCTCAGCTAAGCCTTTCTGTGTGACTTTGTCAGAGAGAGGTGGCTTTTGACAAATGGGCTTCACTATGAAGATACCCAAGGACTTCTGGGGATAGGGGGGCTACTGAGGACTGAACCCAGAGCCTTCACACTGAGCTATATCCCCAGCCTTTTTTTTTTTTTTTTTTTGAGACAAGGTCTTGCTAAGTGGCTAAATTGTCTGTGCTGGGCTCAACCTTGTGGTCCTTCTGCCTCAGCCTCACAAGGTTCTGAGATTATAGGCCTGCTCCACCTAGGACTGCTCTTCTATAGAAGAGGGTAATGCAAGCCAGGTGTGGTGGTGCACCCCTGTAATCCCAGCACTTTCAAGGCTGAGGCAGAGAGGATTGCTGCAAGTTTGAGGCCAGCCTGGCTACATAGTGCGTACATAGAGGCCAACCTGTAGCCGAGGATGGTTTCAAAGCCGGCCTGAACTGTACAGTTAGACCCTGTCTCAAAAGAAAAAAAAAAGGAATGAATGAAAGACTTGGGAGTGATGTGTCTAATATGTTTCCTAATTGTAAGGAGCCACTCTCTCTTAATGGTTAAAAGTGAAAGAATATAACTGTAATTATAATATAAACTGTAACTGAAATAATACAAGCTGTCTCTAAACAGGCCTTTTAAAAGAAAGCTTCCCTGTCCCCAATTTTTTTCTTCCTTTTTTTTTTTTCTTTTTGAGACAGAGTCTCGCTATGCAGTTTAGGCTGGCCTTGAGCTTACTTTGTAGCCCAGGCTGGTCTCAAACTTTCAAGGATCCTCCTGCCTCGACTTCCCAGTGCTGGGATGACAGGAGTGCACCACCACGCCCAGCTCCCAATTTGGTTTTCTGAGGCAGGGTCTCACTACATAGACCATGGTGGTCTTGAATTTACCATATAATCCATATCAGCCTCAAACTCAGGATTCTCCTGCCTTAGCCTTCTGAGTGCCGGGATTACAAGTGCGTACCACAGTGCTTGGCAAGATGTAGTTTCTCCCTGAGAAACTTGTCAACCCAAATAGGCAGAGTGTGATCAGCAGTGGTTAGGTGACTAGCTTGATACAAGAGAGATTAAAGGTGAGCTAAAACATTTGGTGGGGAGTAGAGTTTTTTATTTTTTGCTTTTTTGAGATAAGGTCTCCATATGTGGTTCAGGCTGAACTTTAACTTACTATTCAAAAACAAAACAAAACAAAACAAAACAAAAAACAAAAAAGCAACTCACTATGCAGCCTAGGCTGGCCTCAAATTCATGGTGATCCGCCTGCCTCAACCTCCCAAATGCTGGGATCAAAAGTGTGTACCACCAACCCTGGCTCCAGGAAATGGATCCTGTCCCCGACCCCGTCCCAGGAATCAAACTCAGGTCCTCACGCTTGCCAGGCAGGCGCTGTACCGCTGAGCTAAATCCCCAGCCCCTTGGAATGGATTTCTTGCCAGGAAACCAATGATTATTGCTCCAGACCTGCTAGATGCAGAAACTAAGTATGTGTCTGCAGGATGTAGTCCCCCCAACGCCAAAACAGACCAAGGGGTTCAAAGCCTTGTCCTTGAGATGGGGTGTTGGTGTGAGACTGGCCTGGAACTCCTGGAGTCAATCGCTTCTCCTACCTCAGCTTCCTGAGTAGTTGGGACTATAGGCACTTGGCACTCCGCCCAGTTTAAAGGCTCAAATACTCATGAGAAAATGTAAGGAGGCATATTTGTGCGTGTGAAAAAGATAAGTTGGTGTTACCCATGTTTGAAGTGGGAGTAAGAAGGAAGTGAGTTATTAAAATCTATTTCAACTAGACAAATGGGGAAGTAAAATAGGTTACCTATGGGCATAGATTTCATGTAGGCAACTATAAAAGCCCAGGCGCTCCAGCCAGCAGCCATCCATGTATCTACTGACCATCCACACCTGCTACAGCCAGCCTGGTACACTTGGACTTTGGAGCCGGGCAGTCCTACGTTTGGATTCTGACCCTACTCCTCAGTGATCAGTTCTTAGATTTTGTTTCCTATAAAATAGGACAAACACTGACTTCACAGGACTCTTGCAAAAATTAAAACTTACTGCTGGGTGTGGTGGCATACACCCATAATCCCAGTAATCAGGAGGCTGAGGCAGGAGGATCACTACAAGTTCAAGGCCAGCGTGGGCTACACAGTGAGTTCAAGGCCAACTTGGACTGCATAGCAAGATCCTGTCTCAGATACATAAAGCTTATGTATTATAACAGACCCAGGGATACGGTGAGCCATCAGCGAAGGATAGCTATTATTTCCCACTCCACATTAGGGGTAGGGGCGGGGGACACAGAGATGAATAAGCCGGGTCCATGGCCCCTCCCCCAGGGAGTGCACAGCCTGATGGGATGGGCTGACTATAAACAGCTGACTACAGGGGCACAGCTACCAGTCTGGGCTACATAGTGAGACCCTGTCTCAAAAAAACAAAACCAAATTTTTTTTTTAATTTAAAAAGGGCTGGGGATGGTGCTCAGCTTGGAGGTCCTGGGTTCAATCGCTAATAATGCAAAAAACAAAACAAAACAAAACCAAGGACAAATATTGTGTGATTCCATCAACATAAGGTATACAGAATAGGCGATTCACAGAGACAGGAAGTACAACAGTTACCAGGGGCAAAGTGTGCAGTGGGGTGGACAGTACTGCTTAATGTGTAAAGAGCTGCTGTTCGGGTTGATGAAAAAGTTCTGTTTTTGGAAATCATTAGGGTGAGGATTATGTATCACTGTGAAAGTACTTAAGGACAAGGAGCAGGGCTCTCACAAACGATTTTTTTTTTCAAGACTCGGTCTCACTATGTAATTCAGGCTAGCTTTGAACTCACTATATATCCGAGGTTGACCTCAAACTCATAGTGACCTTCCTGCCTCAGCCTCTTGAGTGCTGGGATTACAGGCATGCACCAGCATGCCCAGTGGTGATAATTTAAAAAAAAAAAAGGTAAAAAGTAAGTAAGAATGGTAAATATTGAGCTAGATGTGGCACACACATTTATCTCAGCTGTCAGAAAGTTGAGACAGGAGGATTACCATAAGTTCAAGGCCAGCCTGGACTGGTCAGTGTAACCCTGATCTATGTAGTCACCCCCCATATACCAGATGTTATCTGGGATGCAAGGACAGAGGAGGAGCTTCTGTAGCCCCAGTGGGCTGAGGAGGGGGGGACCCTCAGACCACATCCTGTCCTTGGTTGGCCAACTTGCCTGAGGACACCAGCTGCTGCCACTTGCTCTTTTGGACGCAGAGATACCACTTCCAAGCCTCACCTCTGCCTTTTTGGGGCCTACAGTTCCCAGCGAGCCCTAGAACCCTAACATCAAGTCTCCCTGCCACAGAACCCTCTGTGGGGGAGCTCCTGTGAAGAGCCTCTCCCTCCAGCCAGATGGAACGCCAGGTCGGCTGACCGCCTCTGCCCAGGGTGGGTAGGCAAGCCCCCTCTGAACACACCAGCATGTTCTCCTTTACATTCCGCAGGCAGAGAAAATGAGGGTGGGGCAGGTCGCACCAGCGAGATGAACCCTCCTCCCCTGACCCCAAGGCCAAGCAGCACGGAAGACTGAATGCAGTAAGTGAGACTGGGATTCCGTAGTGGACTTGGAAGTCTGAACTTTAGTCCTTAGATTGCAGGGAGCCGCCTAGCACCTGGCCCCTGTGCCGTGTTCCTCACCACACCCCTGCTTGATAGACCTATTTACACTCCTTTGGGCCACTGGTCTCACTCCCAGGGGAACAGAAAGCAGGCAGGAGCATGGTCTTTCTTTTGTTCACTGCCTTAAACTTGCCTGGAATCTCTTTTGAAAGATTTATGCACTCTAGGAGGTGAGGCAGGAGGATGAAGCAAGTTCCAGGGCAGCCTAGTCTACATAGTGAGACCCTGTCTCAAAAACAAAAACAAAAAAGACTCGGTAAGCATGTGATGGAGGGAGACAGAAAGAAAAGGAATCTTCTCACTACAATCTCCACCCATCACTCTGTTTCATCTCTAACGTGAGGAGGTGAAGCCTTTTCAAGGCTTGTCTTCCCTCCCCTCAGGTAAGGAAAGTAAGGTTCAAAGAGGTTACCATTTTTCTCTTTTTTCTTTCATTGACTTATTTATTTTGCAGTACTGGAGCTTGAACACAGGGCCTTTATTTTGAGACAGGGTCTTGTTAAATTGCCTAACCCAGAACTTAATCCTGCTGCCTCTCTAACTCTTGAGTAGCTGGGGTGGCAGTGTGCACACTTGACTATATACAAGGTGTGATTGAAAAAATACAGTGAATGTTTAGGTTACAAAAATAGTTGTTATGGTAAAAAACAAAAACCAAACACATGGCTTTTGATCCATCTACCTCAAAATACCCTTCCCTCTGACACTTTGAATATACTTATCCTCTTGTTCTGGCCACCTTCTAAAGCCGTTTGGAAGTTTTCGGTTTTTTTGTTTGTTTTTTTCCGGTACCGGGAATCGAACTCATGACCTTGCACTTGCCAGGCAGGTGCTGTGCCGCTGAGCTAAATCCCTAGCTCCTGCAAGTTTTCTTTTGTCAGTATCTTCTTTTGCATTGTCACGGCCGCTTCGATGTCCTGAACTGATATGAAACGTTTACCTTTCATGGTTATTTTAACTTTGAGGAAGAATCGAATATTATGTGGTGCCATATCAGGTAAACAAGATAGACTAGGACACACTCATGTTTTTATGATTTTCCGTTGGATGGCACTCGGAAGCAGCATTCACCAGGTGTTTTTGTTTTTTGTTTTTTGTTTTTTTTTGAGTCAGGGTCTGGCTATGCAGTTCAAGCTGGCCTTGAGCTCACTTTGTAGCCAAGGCTGGCCTCGAACTCACGATCCTCCTGCCACAGCCTCCCGAGTACTGGGATTACAGGCATGTGCCACCATGCCGAGCTCACCAGATATTTAATCACACCTCATAAAGACACTCACAGAAGAGGACTCTTGTATGTCCCCAGTTCTTTCAAACAAATTTTATTTTGTTTTTTTTGAGATAGGGTCTTGCTGAATTGCCCAGGATGGTTGATCCTCTTGCCTCAGCTTCCCAGAGTGATGGGATTAAAAGTGTGTGATGGGGGGCTGGGGATTTAGCTCAGCGGCACAGTGCCTGCCTGGCAAGTGCGAGGGCGTGAGTTCGATTCCCGGTACTGGAAGAAAACAAAAAAAAAAACCCAAAAACAGACAAACAAACAAAAAAACAACCAAAAAAACCCCACAAAAAACAAAAAACCCAAAAAACTGTGTGATGGCAAGGGAAGTTGGCAAAGCCAAGATTGAAGCCTAGGCAGTCTGGAGTTGCTGTCTCCAAAACTTGTGTATTTAATCCTGGACGAGCCAGTCCTATTATAGGGATGCTATTGTAGCCTGATTAAGAGGGTAAAAGGCCTGGAACTCAAAAAACAAACCCTCAAGAGGCCAGCTGGTAGCGTAGCTACGGTGGATAAACACGTGTCTGTGCCCTGCCCTGAGAAACTCTGACTTGGGCTTGCCTTCTAATTCCAGGTCTCCACCTCGGATGAAGCTGTGTGGAGTGGATTCCAGCCCTTGGCAGCCATAGTCCACACCCCCATGCCCTGCAGCTGCTTGCTGTGGGACTGGTTCTGTACAGCCTCCGGGCCACCACCCTGGAGGTGAAAACCATGCTCAGGCCTCTGAGTGCCCCCTGATGGCCTCGGCCTGGCTCCCGGTGCCACCCAGCACCATGTCGTCTGCCAATGACTCCATGTCGGCCAATTTCTCGGCCAACGCGTCTTCTCCGTGCCCGGACTACCGGGTCTTCCATCGCCTGCACATGGTGGTCTACAGCCTAGTGCTGGCGGCCGGGCTGCCCCTCAACGCGCTGGCCCTCTGGGTCTTCCTGCGTGTGCTGCGTGTCAAGTCAGTAGTGAGCATATATATGTGCAACCTGGCGGCCAGCGACCTGCTCTTCACGCTCTCGCTGCCCCTGCGCCTGTCCTACTACGCGCAACACCACTGGCTCTTCCCAGATCTCCTGTGCCAGATGTCGGGAGCGATCTTCCAGATGAACATGTACGGAAGTTGCATCTTCCTGATGCTCATCAACGCTGACCGCTATGCCGCCATCGTGCACCCGCTGCGGTTGCGCCACCTGCGGCGGCCCCGCGTGGCGCGGCGCGTGTGCCTGGGCGTGTGGGCGCTCATCCTGGTGTGCGCCGTGCCCGCCGCTCGCGTGCATCGGCCCTCGGTCTGCAGCCACCTGGGCCGCCAGTGGCGCCTGTGCTTCGAGAGCTTCAGCGACGAGCTGTGGCGGGGCCGGCTACTGCCGCTCGTGCTGCTGGCCGAGGCGCTGGGCTTCCTGCTGCCTCTGGCGGCCGTGCTGTACTCGTCGTGCCGCGCCTTCTGCGTGCTCGCCCGGCCCGACGCCCCGCAGAGCAGGCGGCGGCGCAAGACCGTGCGCCTCCTGCTGGCCAATCTCGTCATCTTCCTGCTGTGCTTTGTGCCCTACAACGCCACCCTGGCTGTGTACGGGCTGCTGCGCGGCGACCTGGTGCTGGCCCGTCCCGGGGCCCGCAAGCAGGTGCGCGGGGTGCTGATGGTCATGGTCCTGCTGGCCGGCGCCAACTGCGTGCTGGACCCGCTGGTTTACTACTTCAGCGCCGAGGGTTTCCGCAACACCCTGCGCGGACTGAGCGCCCCGCTCCGTGCCCGAACCTTGGCCCATAACGGGACAGAGGACGCGACCACCGAGCAGCCCTGGGAGACCACCCACTCCGCCAGGGTGGATGCCACCGTCGAAGGGCTACTGAAGCCCTCTGACCCCGGCCCTCTGAACCAAGACTCGGCCCTTTGAACCACCCCCGCCCTCGTGCAGACCGTGGTTTCTTTAGATCGGTGGTAGAGAGCAGCTGGCCCCTTCAGTTGGTGGGAAGTAATGGGTCGAGCAGCCCTGGCTAGGAGCTGCGCGATGCGAATGAAAACGGCTGTTCCGACTTTCCAGGGCCGCGATCTGAATGCTTTAAGAGCCCCGGGGCTCGGTGGACGAAGCTGATGAGAACTTCGTGCACCGGCTCTCTTCTGTGCTGAGTGAGGCCCGTACCGAGCCGCCGCCCTCGCCCTCTCCCGGGCTCGCCCTGCTCGGGCTGCAGGCAGAGTGTGAGGGTTTACTTGGTGTGGACAGAATTGGGCTTCTTATCTGGTGACTTGTCACAGTTTAGGCCTGACACCCAGATCCCGCCTTTTGGTCTCCTTTCTAGGTTATTCCTTCTCCTGCCACTTTCAGGGCTCCCTCCTTTCCTGGTCCTGACATTCTCTCTGTCTGTCCGTCTGTCTCTGGAACATTCTTTGCCCCACTAAAGCATTGGTTCTTAAACTTTTTGGTTTTAGACCTCTTCATTCTATAGAGATGGAGAATCACAAAGAGCTTTTGCTTATTCTTTGTTCCCTTGGTATTTATCGTATTAGAAATTAATGAGTTTTTAACACAGAAATAATGTAAGTGTACCCTCCAGAAGCTATGAGAGCCGGAATGTCCTCATATTTCAGGGAGACTCGGGGGAGAATGAAAAGTATTATGAAAATAACATCTTATAGTATTATGAAAATAAGTTTGACCTCGCGTAGTTCATCAAAGAGCTGGTCTCTCGATCACATTTTGATAATCACATTTGTACTGGAGTATTAGAGTTCACGTCTATTCTTTCCAGGGCATTATCTAACAATTTTTAAAGTATCTGTGGGAGCAGGCGATGCTCAGCTGTCTCATTGCTGATGGTGGTCCTCAGGCGTGGAGATTGCTGGGGGCAGCTGGGAGTCGGCACCAGTGGGGGCACTGCCCTCGGTGGAGCGGCAGCCCAGGAACCAGACCCCAAACCACTCACGATGAAGAGTTGGGGCAGCTCTGGTGAAGGAAGGGGAAGCGTGCCACAACAGGAGCGAAGAGTGTACGGGGAAGTAGAGTGAGATGGGCGGATGGGGAGGGCCCTGAGGCCGGTGAAATGGCTTCCGGCCCGCTTTACCAGAGCGGGAGTGGGGTGGGGTGGGGTGGGGCGGGGCACGGGGCGCTGGGCGCTGGCAGGGGCCACAGAGGTGGCACCGTGACATCTTTATAGTCTGACATTCGTGAGAGTTAGTTGTTGCTGTGTGTGCCCTGTATGCATTTCTGGCCTACAGATCTCAGTGCTCTGTGTATGTGCGTATGTGTGTGTGTGTGTGTGTGTGTGTGTGTGTGTGTGTGTGTGTGCGCGTGCACGCGCGCGCGTGTTTTCCCGTGTCTGTGTCTCGGTTTGGAGTAAGCCTTTTGTGTGTCCTTACACCAGTGTTCCAGTTGGTGATTTCCAGGGGTAAAATGACCCCTGGTGGCCAAACTGGGGAACTGACCTATATTCCTCAGGTTAGCCTTACCTGAGGGTAGAGGTTAGAGCCCCAGCTAGGTCCTTACCCCTTCCTTGCTGCTCCAAAGGATCCCTGCTGGTCAGTACCCGCCCCATCTCGATTCATCCTCGGGATTCAAAACCTGTGCCTTTCAGGACCTTAAAGCACAAGCAGGACAAAACCTCACAGTCCAAAATCTCAGAGCTTTGCCCTACCCAAATAGAACATAATTTAAAAGTTCCTTAAGAGGGCCAGGCATGGTGGTGCACATCTGTAATCCTAGCACTCTGGAAGGCTGAAGCAGGAGACAAATTTGGGCAAATCTGAGCCCAGCCTGGTCAACTTAGCAACTAGCCAAGCACTCCATCTCAAAAACTAAAAAAGGCTGGTGATATAGCTTAGTGCAAAGGCCCTGAGTTCAACCCCCTTGCTTAGGAAGTGGCAGTATTGCTTAGGTGGAAGGGTGTGCTCTTCATCCGCCAGTCTCTAGGTTTGATCCCTTGCACCATAAAACTCAAGCCACCATAAAACTCAAGCAAATCTATGTTTTTTAAAAAGGAGTTGAGTACTGTACTTTTATGTGTAGGTACGTAAGTGAATTCCAAGTAACTTAAACTCACAGCTTGTATCACCTCTATCACCTTGTGCTTATTTATTTATTCTAATTTATGTTTATTATCTCTCTCCCCTCCCTGCCTGCCAAGGTAGAATGTAAGCTCCATGGGGGCAGTGATTTGGGGGTTTTTGCTTGGTTGATTTTTGAATGTAACCCTTAGCATCTACAACAGTGAGGAAGTCCTCAATAAACATTTGTGGCCTGAATGAACAGTCAGATATTGCTGCATCCTGTGGGGACCACGGAGCAGGTGGACAATAGTGACTCCAGCAGGACAGAGGGTGCAGGGAGTGGGGGAAGGTGTGGGACGCTATGGGTTTTTGCTCGCAAAGACACACTGTGAAGGATAAACTAGAGGAATGTGGTGAGGACAGTTTAAGGCAAAGAAAGAATGGGCTGGGACAGATGGCCTGTGAAGAAGCGTGTGGCCTCGGAGACAGTGGGGATTAAAGCTGCAGCAGGTGGTTCCCTGCATTCAGATAGCCTAAGGGTTTTCAGCTCAAGAACAGGGATTCAGGAACAGACAAAGGCAGCATGGAAGTGAACAGAACCTGACCAAGAACATGCTGCGGAAGATTCAGAAAGCCTGCTCTTTGCACAGAATTTCCCAGCTACTGATGGAGCAGGAGGGAGAGGCGAGATGTGGGAAATCCAGGACCCTCACCTATCTTCTGGGCTAGGAAATCTAAAGGAGGACAAAGAAAAAACTTTAGATTGAAGGGAAGGAGCAAGAGCATTAAAAGTTTTAAGAAACATTCTTCAGGCCTGACACAGTGGCACACACTTGTAGTTTCCACTCCTCACTTGGAAGGCTGAGGCAGGAAGACTGCTTGAGCCCAGGAGTTCGGTGCTAGTTTGGGTAATATAGAGGGACACTGTACTGGGGTGGGAGGAAGTCTTTTGTATACCAGAATTTCAATTTAGTGCTACAGATGCCTCATCTCATTTAATGATCACAGTTGTCCCATGAGTTAGGGATGATGGTTCTCTCCATGCACGGATGGAGAGGACAATCTCAAGGGAAGGACACAAAACCAGGAAGTGGCTCAGTCTCTGTTGGGCTCCCAGATTCTTACTCCCTGCAGTACAGTGTGTCAACTTCTCTGCTGCCTATCCTGCTGCTGTTATGTCCACCCTTGTCTTCTTACTCTCTTTCCTTCCCCATGTGAGCCATCTCTCTCAGCTGTCTCAGCCAGAACCTATGGCATCGGCATCAGCTCTGCCCTGCCCAGTATCTCCAGCTCTTTCTCCACACCCCCAATCCACTCAACCCATGCTGTGTCCTCCTGCCCTTTCCACTTGCTCCTATGCAGGACACAGCACGGCTGCTGGAGGCTGAGAACCGGTTCATCCCTGTTTCCCATTATGTTGGGCCCTCAGCACACCCATGGAGGGTTGAGGAACAAGCAGCTTCTTGGTGGCTCACACAAGCAAGGTGGCTTAGACTTCCTGCAGTGGGTCGTGACTCCCTTGCCCATCCTAGGATGTACCCAACATCTCCACGACAGCATACTTCTTGTCCACCAGCTCCACTGAGGAGCTGGCTGTCCCTTGGATCTCAGTTCCTCCATGGGATGGTGCCTTCTCTACATGCCAGTGGAGTTGGGGGCTGACATCAATCATTTCTCCTGAAATACAACTGATTGAGGAGAACCAGGACAGGGCAAAGGTTCCCAATGGAAAGCAGAGATGCTTGCTTAGTTCTTGGCTCTGAACCATCTTGAAGGAAATCCCTGTGAGGTCACCATCTGGGTCCTACAGAAGAAATGAGGAAGGAAAGGGAAAGGGAAAGGAAATGTCATATCAAACCCTCCTTTTTCTTTCTCCCAGAGGCCTTGGAGACAGGCTGGGATAGTTCTGGCCATGCCCTCCTTACCAGAGGATCCCTGAAAAAACTGGAAAGTGAAGTTTTTCACATAGGATTTGGGGAAAACCAAAGGCTTCAACAACTTTGGGATCAAACAAACCTGGGCAGTGAGTTCAGTGGTCACTTTCTGGCAATGTGACTTCAGTCCTTTAACCTCTCTGAGGCTCTGTTTTTTTCTGCTGTGAAATGGGGTTCATAATATCTACTTATTTGGCACTGGCGGGGATCAATGAGATGAAGTAAATGTCATTGGAAGAGGGTACTTTCGAAGCTCCACAAGTGGGGGCTGTCTTTCTAACAAGAGTATAGGGCCCAGATGCTGCTCAGGACGCCCCCACGATGCCTGTGTCTAGAAGAGAGCAAGGGCTCCAGGTGACTGTCACCCAGAGAAGCGGGGCCAGCCATCAGAACTCAGCCAGGGGAGCTGGTGAGGAGGCGGGCTGGGCACGTTTCCATGGTGCTGGGTCAAGCGGCCTTCTTTGGGGGCAGGGACTGGCCCGCTGCCCTCTGGGGGCACTGTCTCCCAGGGAGGCGTCCTCCGTCCCATGGCTGCTGAAGAGGTGGAGAAGCGAAGCGCCAGACAGGGACAGGAGGGGGACATGCTGAAGAACCAAGCGATGGCGAGAGGGCCAGGGAGGAGGCTGGAGGGGAAGTGAGGGCCGGGCAGGCCCGGGGTGGGGCCCGGAGAGGGGCCCAGAGCCGCAGGGCGGGAGGGCGCCGGGAGGGAGCGCGACCAGGGAGGGAGGAGGGACAGGGAGACCGGCGCGCTGACACAGCCTCGATGTGTGCAACGGGCTGGGGTTTGGCCCACAGGTCAGGCGTCTGGCAGTATTATGGGATGGAGAGGCCTTAGGAGACAGGAGAGTATTATGGGCTGGAACAGCCTTAGGAGACTGGGGAATATTATGGGCTGGTGAGGCCCGGCTCCAACTGGAGGCGGGAGGAAGGGGTGCGGGGCGGGAAGGGGGGTGGTGGTGGAAGGGATTATTATGGGCTGGAGGCCTCCTGCGACCAGAGGCAAGAGTATTATGGGCTGGCAAGGCCTTCGGTGGCCAGAGGGGGGAGCAGCGGGGGATGGCACCGGCTGCATGTGACTGGGGGGGGCAAGTTGGGGGGGTAGTGAGTGGGGGTGGGGAGCTTATTATGGGATAGCTCTTTGTACCTACTGCGGGGACTGCTTCTCCAGAAGATATTATGGGATGTCGTGTGTGGGAGGGGGAGTGGGGCTGGGGGATTATTATGGGATGGTGGTGCAGAATGGGGAGGGCCTGAGGCGCTCTTCTCCAGCCCCCCACCCCTTCACGCTTACTCCCATCACTCTTAGGGTCAGCCTCCTCCAACGGCCCAAGGGGAGAACCTGAAATCCAGCTTCCTACACACACACACCCACACCCACACACACACACACACACACACTTTGGGCACCTCAGCCCATCCTAGGCATCCCCCCTAACTGGCAGCCACCTCCGGGGTGCATGGCGCAGAGAGGACCGTGACCCTGGGGAGTGGGGAGGAAGCCCCATAGCACGGTTGGGGTGGCCAGTGGCTCCCATTTCTCACCTTCGTGCGTGCTGTCCTCTTTTGCTCCCTAACCCCTGGGGCCACCTTCCCTCCCTCCCAGAAAGTGGGGGCCCTTGAGCCTTGCCCCCACCCCCGCCCCTCCATTTCCTCTCCAGCTCCCTCCACAGCCGTAACCAGTAAAACAGGCAGCCGGTTATTATGGGATGGCTGCTCCCAGCACTCTGCAGGGA